AGCCCTACTGGCAGTCCAGGCATCCCCCCAGCGCTGTATACTTCTACTACTACGCCTATCATCGCTCAATCTCCTAGTGCAATCAAAGCCGGCCATCGCTCTAGAAGTAGTCTGGATTCGGTAGCCTCCAACGCAGCCATATATGGATCAGGTGTACCATCGGATGCCGCCTCGTTACTCAATCGAAATATGAACCTAGGAGACATTGTCCATGGTCGTAACCACGATGCGCGATCACGTCACTCTCCATCAGATGGAGGTGATAGATCAGCAGGCGGAGAGACTCCCTCTTCGGCTAAAGACTCCAAGAGCTTTCTAAGTTTTCTGTCTAGGAAAAAGAGGCAAACAAAAGATGATGGCGCATACCCATCTCCTGAAGAGATGGAAGCTTCCCCGACTTCTCCACACGGATCTATCCGACCTATTGTGGGTTTGGGTGTCCGAGGAAGCAATGGCAGTGATATCAATCTTGACCTCTCTGGCTCGACGTTAGGCGACGACAGGAACGGCAATACTCTGAACATTCGATCAAAGAAAATTAGTCCCGTACGGACCTACGTCCTAGCCACGATGGACTACTGGAACTATCGAATGTGTGACATCACCGAAGCAGAGACCGCAACAGAAGTTCGCCAAGTAATATGCATGCACCTGGGCTTGGGTGACTATGAAAACTCGCACATCTACCTCACTGAAGCGGGCAAGTTCGAGCACGTGGATCCTTTGGATGACCCGAGCCTGGTGACCGTGAGGCGAGCGAAGGGCGATCCTCTTGGAACACTCAAGTTCTTTGTGACACCTCCGGGGGTTGCTCCCATATCTAGCCTCTCTATCAAGGCTGACGTTCCCGTAATCGTATCTCCTGGTTACCTTTCTCCCGAAATGACCGTTGACGATGCTCAACAGAGTAGCAGACAGCGGTCTAGCTCATCGCCTCCAACATCGCGGTCCAACACATTGATAGATGAAAAGAATGAGGACAAGGTGGCGCGAGAGGCAAAACAATACAGAGCTGAGATGGAAAGAAAACAGCAAGAGTATCTAGCCAAGAGGAAGCAGGCAGCAATGAAGGGTAGTCCTTCCGAGACACTCGGACCTGGCATCGTGGGTCGAAATGTTGATTTCGATCAACCTCGCGAGTCGCCGTATGAGGACAAGCGACCTGAGCAACTCTTCCCCCAAAGACGACCTCCGGCACCACCTACTGACCCCTCGGCGACATTAATCAAAGCCAACTCGCTGAGCAGAAAGACTGGAGCAAGCATGCGAACATCCAGCAGTAGTCTGGAGGGTTTTCCATCAAAACGATATCCGGAGAACGAGATGACGGAGAAGTCAAAGAAAGCCAACAAGCAAACACCACCAGCGCCCGGCATTGGAGCCGCCCTCGCAGGCATGGGCAGGAATTTGAGTGCCATAGGACAATCCGCCAAAAACGGTCGTGCCTCATCCCCCTCTCGATCATCAACAAATTCGATTTCTGGAGGTAAGGATACCTTCTCTACCGTTGAACCCTCTCAAGGTCGAGGCAGTCCTAGTACGACGTCATCATCAAAATCGACAACGGGTAACGTAACCTGGAACAAGAAGAACCTAGGCTTCATTGTGCCAGATTACTCGCCCAGCGATTCATCATTTCTACTCAGTCCTAGCCCTACAGTAGATGCTAAGTTTAATGCAACAGTCCCCCGGGCAGCGTCTCCAGCGGAGATGAGCCCCAACCCGAGTCGCCCAAGGACTTCGTTCCCCCCGAACCACCAATCACCTACCCATCGGCGTGCTTCCCATGGCCCAGAGCCCGAGTTTGAAGACTCGGATGTGCACTTCTCAAAGCCAGCCCCAGCCCCGCCAGCTGACGATGACAGTGACGATGACTCTGATGATGGGCTGTTCGCCATTCCCATTGCTAACCGAAACAAGGGCAAGGCCGCTGCTGCGAATGTGGATGCAAATGGTCATGGCAAGCGTCCCAGTCTTCACGTAAACACAGAGCGATCTAGAAAGGGCCTATCGGTTGCCTTCAAATCGCCCAAATCCTTTGGCAGCGGCGTGGCCCCGGACAGTAACGAGGACTCGGGTCGGCAGAAACCGACAACTCCCCGCTCTGACACATGGGAACCCGAAGAAAAGGACAAGCTTGGTCGACGAAAATCTTTCATTGAGAAGGATGTCTGGGCCAACCGACCCCCCACGGATGCCCTTATCAACAATCTCGACGACTTCTTCCCCAACTTGGATCTTGATCAACCTGTTCTTGATGAGCCTGGCGAGGGTGGAATGCCACCGTCTCCGATTGCCGAGGGTTCAGAGACAAATATTGATCAACTAGCTCAAAACGCACCACCACAACCAGCGGTCTCGAGCTACCCTCAACAAGCACCGCCGGCCATCCCTCCAACTCGCCAGCCGTCTCTCTACAACGAAAACGATACTCTTGGCTCCGATGAATCAACCCTGAAAGCTCTTGATCAACAGCGACCAACTTCTGTGGCCCAGAGGAGTATCCGACGCTCAGGTGGTCTTGGTCGAATGAAATCCATCCGTGAAGTTGCTCGTGGTGCTCATGAAGCCAACAAGCGGACCAATTCGACCAATCACGGGCAGACGGCAGCCACGAACATCATGCGCCGAAAGAGTACCAAGATGTTCAACGCCAACATTGTGCAAATCCGACCAGACAGGCGTGGTAGTGTTGTCATGCCCCAAATTCCCCAAGACACAGTACCGAAGCGACAGACGACATTTAGGTGGTTCAAGGGTCAGCTTATCGGCAAGGGTACTTATGGCCGTGTCTACCTCGGTATGAATGCCACTACCGGAGAGTTCTTGGCCGTGAAGGAAGTTGAAGTCAACCCCAAGGCTGCTGGTGGAGACAAGAACAAGATGAAGGAGCTTGTTGCGGCTCTTGACCAGGAGATCGACACTATGCAGCATTTAGACCATATCAACATTGTGCAGTACCTGGGTTGCGAGCGAAAGGAAACCAGCATCAGTATCTTCCTTGAGTATATTTCTGGTGGTAGCATCGGATCGTGTCTGCGAAAGCACGGCAAGTTCGAAGAGTCCGTGGTCTCTTCACTGACACGCCAAACCCTCTCAGGTCTCGCTTACCTGCACAGAGAGGGCATTCTACACCGTGATCTCAAGGCTGATAACATCCTGCTCGATCTGGACGGTACTTGCAAGATCAGCGATTTCGGTATTTCCAAGAAGACAGACAACATTTATGGCAACGACAAGACCAATTCAATGCAAGGCTCGGTCTTCTGGATGGCGCCCGAAGTCATTCGGTCCCAGGGCGAAGGTTACAGTGCCAAGGTAGATATTTGGAGCTTGGGCTGTGTGGTTCTGGAGATGTTTGCTGGCAAACGCCCTTGGGCTAAGGAGGAGGCTGTCGGCGCTATCTACAAGATCGCCAACGGCGAGAGACCTCCCATCCCTGAGGACATCCAGGATACCCTTGGCCCGTTGGCCGTGGCTTTTATGATGGATTGTTTCCAAGTGTAAGTTGTCTTACGGTGATGGCTTTCTGCGCAACACTAACAAGTAGACAGAAACCCCTTCGATCGTCCTACGGCAGATGTGCTCCTCTCGCAACACCCGTTCTGCGAACTCGACCCCAACTACCAGTTTTATGACACAGCTTTGTATCACAGAATCAAGTCATTCAAATGAGCTAGCTTCTGGTATACTGGTTTGATATAAGGCGGATTAGGTATCCTCAAATTTCTTCTTTTGTATGTATTAGTGGTGGTTTTTGGGATTATACGCTTGTGAAGTACAAGAGCGACGGCGCACTGTAGGATTACAGCTTCTGAGCTAATCGGCGTTATTTGTTTATACGGTAGAGAGGGTGGGCTAAATGAAACGGATGGTTGGATGGTGATGACTTTTCTTGACACTCGTTGTGAAGTGAATTAAACATAATAATACCTCGGCTAAGCCATTGACTTTTCATTACTTGAAATGACAGTATCAGCTGGTTTTTGTCTTGGAACAGTGTGATTTCTATTCCCAAGTTCTCCTGCTCACTAGAGAACCTTTCGGTATGGTCGCAGCCTCCAACGCCGCCGGTTTGGGCTCAATCCGCTATTCAGGATCAGAAGCTGCCTTTTCTGACACTATATTCTGGCAAGCCTCCAGATGGGAAACTGAGAGCGCTTTGGATCTGCGAACTGAATCGGTGTTGTCTGGCTTGGGTAGTAACCTGGTTGTAATCTGGGGTGCTTGGGAGGTTGTCGCTTTCTCTTTCGCTCTTTCATTTTGGCTTTCTTGAGAGGCTCTGGGTATCCGAATTCATGATAGATGACTCGACGGAGGGGCTTGTTTATCGGATGAACAGCGACTAAGGGGGCAAGTTGTACATATCAGGAGCATTGGCTCCAAAGCTTAACTCCATTGTGGGCAGAGCACTTGGTTGATTGGCGATGTTTTGAAGCCTTTCTTCCAAGCCAGGTTGTGCTTGCTCGTGTTTTTTTTTTTATGCAACTCTTCAGCCGTGGACATTCGACCATTTCGAGGACACAGATGAGGGTGACATCGGCCATGATGGATGTGCTGATAAACGATAGTGAAGAATAGACGAACGCTATGAGTGTTTGTACGGAATGTGTGTAGTTGGCAATGTGATGTTATTTCTCGTGATTTTCTGCAAATGTGACGCTATGGATAACAAAAGTCTGTAACTATCGTCAAGGGTTGGGGAGCGGATGGTAGGCTTGATTTTCTATTCAGGAGCTGGTAGGAGCAATATTCAATGGGAAGATGGAAGTGATTCAATCGAGGAACAACAATAAAAAATAAAACAATACCAGGCAGGTGCCTACAAACACCTAGTATTTAAGCATAAACATACATAAGATAAACTCAAATTCTTATCTTGTAATTCATTCTCTTCGTATCTCACAGGAGTTAACATCTTAGGGATATATGATTGTACTTGAGCTGACGTCCATTGTTAAAGATGCTTGACTTCCGTCAATGGCATTAACCCTGTTGGTTCAATCTTTGTTCTCTGCCCTCCTTGTCTTTCCTGCTTGTCCTTTTCCAGGCGCAGCATCGAACTTGGCTTTCCACGTGTCTTCCTGCTTAAACATCGTGACGCACTCTGAAGCACTTGGCTGGCCGTAGTCAGGGTCTGCACCACCATCAAGCAATTCCTTCCGCAACAGCGTGGTCAGTACACTAAATCCCAAGACACAATTCTGTGCAGGTCCGTTGGGGAATGTACTCACTTGGATCACGGCATCTTCCTTCTTAAAGACTGCGCCTGCAAGAGGACTCTGACCTCGGTCATTTGAGCGATTAGGGTCAGCGCCATGTTGAATGAGAACCTTGACCAAGCCCGCGTGGCCATGATAAGCTGCGAGCATGAGCTTTTATCATCAGTATGAAAGTTTACTGGCATTGACAACGGAGAGATGCTCAAGTATCATACCAGAGTATCGCCCTTGTCGTTTGTAAGATTCGGGGGCAGGCCTGCAGGAAGAGCCTGTTCAAAAGTAGCTACGTCGCCTTTTCTGGCAGCGTCGTACATTTTGCTTGCGAACTCGATCATCTCGGGTGTGAGTGAGTTTGCACGTTGAGGTTGGTTTGATGCTTCACTCATGATGTGCTGATGGGGCGGTGTTTGGGTCTAGTGTCTGGGACGATTGAGTAAATATGAGGACTATTCCCAGGTTCTATTGGTGCGTCTTGTTTTATTAACAGGATTATTCTTATGTGATGGAGTGAATGTTGTCAATAATAGGTTTAATACGACCAGAGATAAGGTTAAATTGAATGACGTAGAGTATAGGCGCAGAATACCAGTGTTTCTGACAGTGGCTCTATGATCACGGTTCAGTTTGCCGTGTCAAAAGGAGGAATATTACACATATTTATCTATTGCCTCGATGCATTTTATGAGAAATAAATCTTTGTAAATATTCGAAACCAAATCGTCGTTACAATTTATACCAGTAGCCTGCAATATAACACTTGAGCCCGTAGCTAACGATAATTCAATCGGATGCGAAAAACAAATATCCCAGTCGCTCAACGAAAACAATGATATACTTTAAAAATCCCACATCCAAAATAATATCCCAAAAAGAGAGACAAAATACAAACGTAAAGTCGATGCAGCCTTGTTCAGTGAAAATGATGAGTGTTCGTTTCCCCGCCTTTCACACCCAAAACGCCTTTGAAGGAGAGACAGCATTTCATCAATTTGGTGCATGCTAATCATCTCTGATCAGTTTAAGAGTATTCTTCCCCATCATGAGACCTACCATAAGAGAAAGCATATTCCCCGAAATTTGATCACATATTGTTGTATTCACTGCAGATAGTCGGTAGTTCCATCGCCATCGCCAACGTCTGGCTCATTTGGGATAACAGGCCGCTCTGGTTTTGGTGTCTCGGGGCGATGGGCAATGTCAATGATTGGGTTCATCCTGAGTATTTGTTTGCTTCAGATCGCTATGTTAATTTGCGTTTCTTTTTTAACGGTTTTAGCTCACGGATGATATCTACACATCAAAAGTAGAAAAACGATAAAAAGAGGGTGAAGGGTGGTTAGTATATAAAGCCATATTAAGTCGAACCTAACTAATGGCGCGGGGGCACGTTACGTTACGTCAGGCTTCGGCAGGCCATTCATTGGAGGAGTTGAATCCAATATGTCCATGATAACGAGGGAGAAGCAACCCATTTCATTCGACCTTGTGGTTTTTAGAACGTCACAGTTGGGTATGACGACTATCTTAGTAGTGATCGTACCACTTCTACATCCCTAGGCAGTGAATGGTATATATGTTGTGTTGCTGAGCAGGCAACATAGTAAGTAAACAAAGGGAGAGTGTCCTCGGAATTCCAATGAATCAAAACAAAATCCTTCTGTTTTTGAATTTATATACATACATGTATATATATAGTTTGCGGCGGATGAAAACTGATGGATCTCTGGTAACGCGCATTGCCTTCCCATTGACGGGCGCTCGGATACAGCTGGGAATAGGGTAGATAGACGAATACATACCCGTCACTACTACTAAAATAACTTTAGTCTAATACTGGTCTCTATCAATGGGACTGGCATAAAAACATGTGGTTATAATCTCATTATTACGTTGACAAGCATCACTAATGGGCATTCATGATTTCGATCATAAAAACACTCGAGGTGATACAGATTATGTAAATTCGGTTATTGCGAAGAACACCCGCGTTCAAGGTCAACGGCTCAGATCAGATCATATCAAACTCTAACGCTTAACAGGGACAACGAACAAGGGCCCTAGAACCTTGCCATCCCCAAGTTAGAACAAGCTCGGCAAAGACGTCGTCAACAGGTGAGATCAGCACCTCGATGGTTTCGGGGGTCCGCATAATCAATACCGCTCCCACTCAGCCCTTGTTTTGATTCAACGACCTGATGCGTTATGATGTTGCTACTGTATACCGCGGCCAACCGTGTTCTACACCAAGTTTGGTATTATTTTCTGCACGCCCTACGCAAAACAGCCCTCGGAACCATGGAGGCGGGATAAACCCAGCCAAAACGGGATTCCAAGCAGTTTCCCATGACCATGAGATCATTTCCCAATCTTCATCATTATTCTTTAAGGTTGGTTGGTGGCTGAACCAAGACAAAGATCGGATCTGGCGGAAATGGGAGGCTTTCTTGGGATGGACGGGACAGGAGAAAAATGAGGGGTAGCTTGTTGCTCAAAACAGCTTCCATCTCAACCCAAGCTATTCCCATTCCTTAGCCAATGTTCAGATTAGTCAATAAGACGACATCGTATTTTCGAACTGAGACCGGCCTAGGTTCCCTCGATGGGTCAGTGAATCGTGGACCCGAATTCTTTCCCCTCGTCTTCTGCGGATCGCTTTTGCGAGAGACGTAATATCAGATCAGGGCAAAGCGGGTGTCGTGCATGGGGTCCATGGAACTATACGGTTATCAGTACAGTAACTTGTATATGCTCGGTCACGTCGGATAATAAGAAAAAGGCAAGTCAAAGTAAAAAAAATAAAACCCAAAAGGTCCCCTCCTTCTCCTCAGTGAGCAATCAGCACCCTTGCTTGAAGGGTGTGTCTGGAGAAGACAAAGACAAGACTGGTTGACTGGTCAAGAGGAACAGCGGCTTCGTAACAAGACAGGTGGAGATGGCATATTGTATCATATTATCCCATCTTTCCCCAGAAATCTCAGCATTGAGAGATGTCTTTGTTGATCGATTGGAGGGATGAGAGAAACATGGAGTAGCGATTGACCACAATGAGGCCGAATGGGAATGAGAATAATGCGGGAGCATTTCGATATGACCTCAGAAGCCCAGGTTCATTGACCCAAAGTATGCAACAAACTCGGCCAGGCCGCTCGTTGGGTTCGTTTTGAGTTGAAGCGAAAGGCTGAAGAGAAGGAAGAGAAGGAAGAGAAGGTGACGAAGCAGCGGCCCAACATATGCAACCCTACGTTGCAGTTGGTTGGTAGTACAAAAGACCCCAAAAAGTGCATGAATTATCAAAAATCATAAAGCATGCCACGAGAAAAATGACTCTTTCAAAAGTTTACCAGCTCTTCGGTCATCCGAACCCAATCGGCTGGTAGACGGCCAGATTTGACTACATTTCATACCACCGATACGGTATGTCGGGTGAGTTTTTCCCGACCATCTAGAGAATCCGAGACAAGATCGGATGCTGTCATGAGAGTAACTGAGGGAGGACAATTCTCATGAAATTGAAGCTAGGGTAAAGGTATCATGACATTGCGTAGGTCCGGAGTCTTTAACATCAGATGTTGGATCAGCCACGGTCGAGACTTGGCAGGAAGGGCCAGTTACTTCTTGCCCACTATAGAAACATACTTGGGGAAGGTACTTCATGGCCAGCCATTTGTACTTACGGTAGGAGCAGCCGTGTAAACCGTAAGCGGGACTCCGCTGGCGGCCGGGTCCTTCCACTGAATGATTTTCTCTCTACATCATCATCCTTGTCTTTATCCTCCCCTGTCAATTTCTAATTCTTCACCCCGCCGGGGCCCCAATCAAAGCTCCCCATATTCCAACTTCGTCCCCTGCTTGTCAGATGTCAAAGATCAAATTTATACGGATGCCGCGAGCTTGAACCTAGAATATCATCGGTCATCTTACCTATTGATTATGCCACCATCAAGCAAGAAATAAGGACCGACTAGGCAACATGCCACCTCCCTTGGCAGGCTTGTTTCAAAGACGTCGATTTATCCCCGCGAATCAAATGCTATCAGCGGTCAATATTGTTACTGCATTCGTACAGTACTGCCAACGAGACAGCGAGCCTTGGATCTGCCATTTTCCAGCCGCATTCTGATCGAGCTACGACGAATGGATATTATTTCCCGTTTACGATTGACTTTGGTAGTGGTTTCTAACCAAGCCTACACCTCGAACAACAACTTACTTTGTTCAAGGCATTTACTTTCATAGTACATAAATGTCTACTCACACAGGGAGGTGGCTCTAGCCATGCTATACCTGCAGGTGGTCACAAAAAATATTGTCAAGATACATCAGACCACTTTTCCTCGACAACCATGGCCGCCAGCCGGTGCTCCAAAACGTGTCAAAGCTATCCACCTTCTATTCCTTCTTGGTTAACATCAATTCAAGGATGGATGGCTGTCAATGGCTATGCACCAACATGCAAGCTAGGCATGGTATAGTATGGCATGCTATCTAGGCCGATCTTCCTTTGCCCAACTGATATCGCAGACCACTTCGCAGTGCATCCCATTCCCGTGCTTTTTCTTGTCCGGTCCGTCTTCCTGGTTCTCATCCGCTTCAAACGCCGCTTGAGGAAATAGACAGCGGAGCGTCCCCCACGCTCGCCACTATCTTGCCCATCTGTAAGGTGCTGTTCTGTGTCTACGTCTAAGCCGCCCAGTTACGGTTACTATATGCCATGCCATGCCATCCGTTGCGATGGATGCTTTACGTCCACGCCCTCAGCCATGTAGAAACCTATTCTTCCTTTCCCCCATTCCAATTGGATCACTGCCATGCTGTGACCTCTGCTGATCTCGTCAACGGCCGTCTATCCATACCTGCCTCCGTAAGGCAACTAGCTCCATGTGTGGTCCATTGGTTCAACTAACCCAAGTTACGGCGAAGACCTCAAACTAAGCCCTTTCCATACTGTATGCAGTAGGACAGGTAAGACAATGAAGGGAAATGCGAGGCAAGGTAGGTATCACCTTTCCGTTCTGTCACCACACTCCCCTCTATACTCTATACCTCGCTCTCTACCTCTCCTAGTTCTTGGCAGCCCTTCCAGTATTCTCATATAAGAAGTCCTGAAGCCCTGCACATAGTGTTCCTATCCTTCACTCTTCTTTTCTCATCTCTCATCCGAAGAGTTCAACTTTACACACAACTCTCATACAACTTCATCTATTATATACTCTAATATCTTTTACCCATGTCGCCAGAGGTCAAGTCTATCTCGCCCTTTGGCATTGCCCGTTCAACTGTCCAGGGCGAGCCTCTCTCCAAGGAGGAGATTCAACAGTACAATGACTTTTTCAAAGCCAGCTGCTATCTCTCCTTGGGTATGATCTATCTCAAGGAGAATCCTCTTCTAAGACAACCCCTCAAAGCCGAGCACCTCAAGCTTCGATTGCTCGGTCACTTTGGTTCGGCTCCTGGCCAGATCTTCACATATATGCACTTTAACCGTCTGATCATAAAGCACGATCTTGACGCTCTCTTCATCTCTGGCCCTGGACACGGTGCTCCTGCTGTCCTTTCCCAGTCTTACCTCGAGGGTGTCTATACCGAGGTCTATCCAGACAAGACTCTTGACGATGAGGGCATGCAAAAGTTCTTCAAGAGCTTCTCATTCCCAGGCGGAATCGGTTCTCATGCCACCCCCGAAACTCCCGGATCCCTCCATGAGGGTGGTGAGTTGGGTTATTCTGTCTCGCACGCTTTCGGTGCTGTCTTTGATCACCCCGATCTGATTGCTCTTACCATGGTCGGTGATGGCGAAGCCGAAACTGGCCCCCTTGCTACTGCCTGGCACAGCAACAAGTTCCTCAACCCAATTGTTGATGGTGCTGTCCTGCCTGTTCTACACCTCAACGGTTACAAGATTAACAACCCTACTGTCCTTGCTCGAATCTCTCATCGAGAACTTGAGTGCCTTTTCATCGGTTATGGCTGGCAGCCATATTTTGTTGAAGGTGATGACGTTGAGTCCATGCACCAGGCAATGGCTGCTACTCTTGAGCACTGCGTGAACGAGATCCGAAAGATTCAGAAGGAAGCCCGTGATTCCGGTGAGGCAGTACGACCTCTGTGGCCCATGATTGTTCTCCGAAGTCCCAAGGGATGGACTGCCCCCCGCAAGATTGACGACAACTACCTGGAGGGTTACTGGCGAGCTCACCAGGTCCCTATTGCAGACCCCGCCACTAACCCTGCTCATCTCAAGGTCCTCGAGGACTGGATGCGAAGCTATGAGCCTGAACGTCTGTTTGATGAGACTGGTGCACCTATTGCATCCATCCGTGCCCTTGTTCCTAAGGGCAGCCGTCGAATGAGCGCTAACCCTGTCGCCAATGGTGGTCTGCTCAGGAAGCCCTTGAAGATGCCCGACTTCAGGGACTATGCCATCAAGGTGGAGAGCCCCGGAAATGTCATGAATGCTAGCATGACCAACATGGCTGTATTCCTCAAGGATGTCATTGCCACAAACCAAACCAACTTCCGTCTCTTTGGTCCCGATGAGACTGAGTCTAACAAGCTCGGTGGTGTCTACGCTGCTGGAAAGAAGGTCTGGATGGGCGAGTACTTTGAGGAGGATGCTAACGGCGGTAACCTCGCCAAGGCTGGACGTGTTGTTGAGATGCTTTCTGAGCACAACTGTGAGGGTTGGCTCGAGGGTTACCTTCTGAGTGGTCGACATGGACTTCTCAACAGCTACGAGCCCTTTATTCATGTCATTGATTCCATGGTCAACCAGGTATGTATACAATTAATCATAGTTGTAGTTCTTACTGACAAAATCCACAGCATTGCAAATGGATCGAGAAGTGCCTCGAAGTTGAGTGGCGCGCCAAGATCGCTTCCCTCAACATTCTCTTGACAGCTGTCGTCTGGCGCCAGGACCACAACGGCTTCACCCACCAGGATCCTGGTTTCCTTGACGTCGTCGCCAACAAGAGTCCCGAAGTTGTCCGAATCTACCTTCCTCCTGATGGCAATTGCCTGCTTTCTGGTATGTTCAGTATCATATCTTTGCAGTCTGACCCCAACTAACTTTTTGCAGTTATGGACCACTGTCTCCGCTCTGTCAACTACGTCAATGTTGTCGTTTCAGACAAGCAGGAGCATCTTCAGTACCTCCCCATGGATGCTGCCATTGAGCACTGCACCAAGGGCATCGGCATTTGGCCTCAGTTCTCCACCGACGCCGGACAGAACCCCGACCTGGTCATGGCCTCTTGTGGTGACATTAGCACTCACGAGTCTCTGGCTGCCATCGATCTCCTGCTCGAGCACTTCCCCGACCTCAAGATCCGCTGCGTCAACGTCGTTGATCTCTTCAAGCTGATCCACCCCAGCGACCACCCCCACGGTCTTACAGACCCTGAGTGGACCAGCCTCTTCACTGATGATACCCCCGTCATATTCAACTTCCACAGCTACCCATGGATGGTGCACCGCCTGACATACAAGCGCCCCGGCAGCCGTAACTTGCACGTTCGTGGATACAAGGAGAAGGGCAACATTGACACACCTCTCGAGTTGGCCATCCGCAATCAGACAGATCGTTTCAGTCTAGCTATTGATGCTATCGATTGGATGCCTCAACTTCGCAACCGCGGTGCTTCAGCGCGCCAGGCTCTCCTTAATTCCCAGATCCAGGCTCGCAACGAGGCTTTTGAGACAGGAATGGATCCCGCCTTCCTCAAGAACTGGACCTGGAAGCGCAATGGCCTGTGGAAGAAGGTCAGCGAAGGCCTAGTTTCAAGATAGAGTGTGCATGCAGAAGTATTTGGCTCTGCTAAGAATTTCTCACGGATAGAGAACTTTACATGGAAAAATAGACGAAAGAAACATAAAAAAATAAGACGGATGGGCGTTGCTGGGCTGTTGGTCGGTTATCATGTCGTCAAGAAGTCATGTCATTACTTTTTCTTTTCCTCTCTCTAAGAAACTCTATAGTTCTGTAGTTCTAATGGCTTTGAAAGAGTTACCACGTATAATGCTTCAACTCCTGACAGCTTCCCTCCGCATATGATACTGAATCATGCCGAGCTCAACAAACTCACTGGTTCCACTGACCTTGAACCCGAATTTTTCGTACAGCCCCTTTCCCTCTTCGGAGCTGTTCAAATATGACATCCAGCCTTCCTCATCAGCCCTCTCAACACCAAACTTCATCAACGCGGATCCCACTCCTCGGCGCTGTCCCTCCTTCGCAACAGCAATTGTGCTAAGAAACCAATGCTTCTCCCCTGCGATATACTTGATCGCTGCATCGTTGTTCGCCTGGAAGAAATGCCTTGCAGTTTCTTGATCCCCCGACGCCGGGAACGAAGAGCGCTTGAGCTGCTTGCCAGGTAGCGGCTGCTCTCTACGAGCCCAGCGCGCCCAGCCGAGGACACAAGAGTCCTGTTCCGCGACGATCATGTAGTTGTCATCCTTGTCGTCAATGTTCCGTTGAATGAGATTTTCCTGCCAGGCTTGCACTTCTTGTGATGATGGAGGGAAGCAGCGCTTGTTAAGAGGGGAGGAAGAGAATGCGGAGAAGAAAACGTGGATCATTCGGGGAATATCATCGTGCGTTGCTGGACGGATGTTTATGGAAGACATGATTATGGTTGACGATGTCGAATATGGAGATTGATCGAGATGAGGATGAAAAGTGTAGGTTTAAGCTGACTTCAAGTCGAGGATTGGCTATCTACAGGATTAGGCAGTTGACCAATGGAATGAGTCATGCCGTACGGGCCTGCCTCAAGTGAGGTAAAAACAAGAAAGCACAACAGAAAACTAAAGCATAGTATTCGAAGTGTTAATTAATGTATCGCAGTTTGTGATTCGCTATATCTCGAAAGCAACTATAATCCGTGACTATGTAACGCCTTCTCAGTATTCCCAGAATTAATCCCGACTCCGTAAACGCCCTTTTATCTGTTTTACCCATCACCGTACTATACCGCTCTAAAACAACCAACATCTTCTAGCACTAAAGAGCCTTCACGGATTGAAAGAAAGGGTTTGCCTGAAGCTCCGAATTTGCCCCGACAAGCTCTTTCAAGGCAGCTACTTGCTCCTCTCGGCTCATACCTCCAGCCTTCACCTTGTCCTTCCACTCCACCAGGACTCGCTTCAACATGGCACTGCCGTCCTCCATGTCCTGCTTACTGTACTGCAAGGCAAGGTCCTCGTGCTTGGTGGTGAAGTCTTCAAGCTCGTCTGCCTTGCGCTTGGCCATACGGACCACCTTGTCCGGGAAGCGGACCAGCTCTGCAACGTGGATGCCGAAACTCTGGTCACACACGCCTGGTGCCACCTTGTACAACAACGTCACTTCGCGTTTGGCATCCGTTTCCGAAGCTGCTGCATCAGTGCCGCCGATGTGCGCCGTTACATGAAGGTTCTGCACTTGGGGGTACTGGTCGGCAAGAGCTGTGAGTTCGTGGAAGTGGGTGGCAAACATGGCGGAGCAGCCAATTTCCTTAACAATGTGCTCCGAGATAGCCCATGCCAAACCGAAACCGTCATAAGTCGATGTGCCACGTCCTAGCTCGTCAATGATGATCAAGGACTCTGAGGTAGCCGACTTGAGGATGTTGGCCGTCTCGAGCATCTCGGCCATGAAGGTCGAAACACCCTTGAGCTGCGAGTCGCTGGCACCCACACGTGCCAGAATCGAGTCGTAGATAGTCAACTCTGCCTCTGCGCATGGCACGAAGCATCCAACCTGGGCCATAAGGGCAATGACGCCGGTTTGTCGAATGAAGGTCGACTTACCGCCCATGTTGGGACCGGTGATAATAAGGAACGACGACTTGTCGCGCGTGAGTTCAACATCGTTGGTGATGAATTGGACATCATCCTGAAGTTCCATACAAGGGTGACGAGCTTCGCGAAGGATTGTCTGACCCTCACCACGGGTATGGATTTTGGGTCGAACATACGACTCAGGGGCATGAACAGAGGCGTGAGCAAGAGAGACAATCACGTCGAGATGAGCAAGGATACCAGCAAGACGTTCTAAAACAGGGCAGTAGGACGAAGCGACCTGGACAACTTCATGGACAAGACTGCTTTGTGTCCTGTTGTAATTTTGGGACAGCTGATCGTACTCGCGTCGATAGGCTTGCAACTTCTTGGTTGTGAAATAGACACCGTTCTTCTGCGTCGAACACTCCTGATACTTGGAGTTGTTTCGGATGCAGCCGGCCTCTTGTCGCGTGAGACGCATACACACCCCATGGACCTTGTGGCTGGTCTCAAGGAAAATCTTCTTGTCGGCTTCTTGACCTAGGTCCTTGGCTGAAGCTGTGAACTCGGCTCGAATATCCTTGTCGAGCTGATCAAGCTTCTTGCGAATGATGCGCAAGCTCTTGTCGAAGTCGGCCTTGATGATGTACTCATGACGATCAAGAGCATCGAGATCGACCGTCTGCTCCACCATATCCTGGAGCTTGCCCAGGCTATCGGAAAGGTCGCGAAGCTTAGTGGTGTAAGCCTCATCGAGGGGGTCCTTGTAGTTTTCATCCATGACACCCTCAAAGGTACCAATAAATCCAGGAAGGCGAATGACAACTTGGTATGCGCGGACAACATCCTCCAGATTGGCCTTGCCTCGTTGGAACCTTTTTGAGAGTCTGTAAAGGTCGGGGATGGATCGAAGGTGTTCCTCCTGCAATGTTTGACGAAGTTCAGTGTCGACATAGAAAGCTTCCACCAACTGCTGACGCTTTTCAATCTCATTCTTGCTCATCAAAGGCTGCTTCAACCATTGTGCCAAGAGTCGACTGCCCACCGGTGTCTTGCAGTGGTTAAGAACGCCAAAGATACTCATCGTCTTGGACCCGTCGCGTGGGCCTGGCATAAGGTTGAGAGCTTTGAGAGCAGCAGCATCCAACTTCATAAAATGGGCTAGGTCGTGCTGGTACAATTGGTACTGGCCAAAGTTGGAAGGGTCTTGTAGAACCCCGAGGTACTTGATTAGAGATGCCGCGGATCCCATGGCCAGCTTGAGATCTGTCTGCGGGAGAAGAGATGCTGACCGTTCATCCTTGAGTAGACGTGCCAAGTCCTGTTCGATATCTCGAATGCCAAAGTCGCCAGCTGGTCTCTCTGCAATGGCGACGCCGCAGTTGTCGATGATCTTTTTTATCTTGGCTAGCTCAGGGTCCTTCTCTTTTTCGTCCTTCTTGTCGCCCTTGTCAACTTGCACCAAGCACTCGCGAACACCAAGCTGAATAAGGAGCGCCTCAAAGTTGGAATACAGGTCATTGTCGAGAAACTCGCTGACACCTAGCTCTCGCACGCTAGCATCTGCAAAGCAGACACCGACATTACGAGCTTCGGAAGCCTTTGCTGAGATCTTGACTGCGAGAATCATAGGTGCTGACTCGATCTGGCCCCCTAGATCATCCTCCACGTCTTGGAGATTGCCTGGCGACGCTTGCTTGATGCACTTCCAGTTCATGCGGCCAGAAGAGCTCTGCCAAATCTCGATTCGCTTTCCGAGCTTGAGTAGGGCTTCCCGGAGGAATTGTCGGAAGACGGTCATGGTCATGGTGACAGAAGGTAGTCCGGTGTGGTCATTTCGGCCGAGCTGTCGTACAACAGAAGTTGTCTTGTAGACCTAGAGTAAAGAATTAGAATCGGTAGAGATATGGGTTTGGTAGGCACTTACAGTCTTTGCGATATAGTTCGCATCTTGACCATGGGAGGTATACCAATCGCCTCGATCAAAGATGCGGATTGTGTCTTGGTTAACGTCTGGTAAGGACTTGAAGAAGCGAATGAAACCGCCCTCGTCATCGAGCTAAGGACATGATTAGTATGAGAATCAGTAGAAATTTTCATTATTGTAATTACCTTTAACTCTGGTCGTGAAGCCATAATGAACGTCTTTTACTTGTGCAGCTCCAGATTTGAAGTGAAAGTGCCTAGGAGACAAATGTTGGAGGTTTAAGTCGCGTCATTAGTTCGCGTATTGGCCGGGAGACGCGATTTTAGTGGACTCTCAATTAAAATGGTGACGCGAAATTATGGTCTTTGCATAAGTCACATGACTGTCATATAAACATGGATAACGGATGCACAACTTGAACAGATCATGTGAGCAGTTTCACTGATCCACTATTGGTTGGTGCCAAACAGTACCTACCTAGGTACCCAGCTGGTGAGTTGATGGATAACCTTAACTGACACCAACATATATGTTGAAACTCACGATGCTCATTGTTTCTTTGAACGAACTGCTCGTAATAGTTCCGGTTTAAAGTGCAACTCGAGACCTGAAAGTTCGATGCCACACTACTATCAACAAGATCAGCAAAGGGCATGACTTGAACGAGACATTAGAAATGATCAAGGCGCGTTCAGCTCAGCCTTTGGGCCCTGGTATCCAATAAATGGCGCGCTATCAAAAGATCCGGCGGCGATGATTCACTATCAGACAGCCTCGATCAGCCACATGTCTCTGTAAGTGATTGGCAACTCGAGCATGGCTTCTTTTCCGCTGTGATAAGGTAAGGGACATGAAAATTCATCTGGATTATATTTTGACGAGCAATTATTAGTCCCTATCCATAAGCAATGACGCAGTCTGTGCGGTGAATCGCCAAGAGATAAATCGAAGCTCTTGCATCGACCAAATCAAGGATAGGCTCAAACAATTTGTTCTCTTGTTCGCGAACTGGGGAACAAGAGTCGTTTTAACCTTGTTTTTAGCCTCAACGATGTGGGGGGTTTCACAGAGTTTTATACGGAGCCGCATTGACATGTTGACTGAACATGTTCAAATTGAAGCCACCTACCTGGGGAGTTTCTACTCAACATGGCCACTGATGGGATATTCTGAAGAGGCAGCAATAGCAAGTGACTTATTCTGATAAAGACAATGCCAACACGTGCTCTCGAGTAAAGACGATATATCGATTTATGCTTGGATATACAAGCCTTGGCGACAGGGATTATACACTCGACACTATCCATCCGGGTTCTCAAAGCAAACCCAAAATGGTAATCTCCCGCTCGATAGTGGCTCAAGGCCATCAAGGTCCTCATAGCCAATCCACTCTTCAACAACAGGAGCAGATATTCATTCTGGGCGTTTTCCCCAGTGGCAATGAGACCGAGAGAGCAAAAGAGTTTGAGACATTAACTTTATTCTCCCTCTTTTCCTCCCTCCAAAAGAACATTGAGATAGTCTGCCTCCCTTTCAAAAGTATCTTTATTTTCTCTCCTCGACAGCAGCCAATTCCAAGTCTCGCTTCTCTTTTCCATTGGCCTCTAGCGAATTTAAGCATAAATTCTGCTTGCCTATCTAGAAGCATCTTTCTCGGCTGTTTGTTACCGTGGTCAATGGTTTGATACGAAACAAAAAAAAAAACATTCTTGCCATTATCCGTCCACCAATATGTACGCTTCCGCCTCGTCCCTCACCAGATGGGGACTTGTCTTCTCCGCGGCTTCTGCTGCTGCCAGCAATGTCCGTATTGCCCCTAGAGATACTACCCAGGCCCCTTCAGGCACAGCAGCTGCACCCGAGGTCACCGCCATCACAGGATGCCATCTCCACGCTTCAGAACTGTTAGTAGATACCTAGTCGCCTCCAAACCGAGGCACCATGGACTAACCGTGCACCTAGATATTGTTTCGCTGGTGAGACCGAATACATGGTGGACATCAAGGTCACTGCCACCACTGATGTCCCCTCTCAATATACCGACTGCCATTCCCATGGCTCTGATATGTAAGCCATTGAGCTATGACCTATCATTGGCCACTACTAACTCTTGCCCCTTAAGGTTTTGTGTCGGCTCGGATGGTCAAGATGTTGCTGTTCAAGCAGAAGGTGCTGAATCAGAAGATGACCACGATCATGAAGCAGGTGAAGATCACGACCACGACCACAGCCATGGAGAAGGTGCAGCCGAAACAGGAACTGCCGGTGACAAGACTGCAGAAAGTGATAATGAGCACTGTCATTTCCATGCCGGTGTCGAGTAAGTCACATCCCTTATTCATGAACCATCGGCAATCACTAATGGGTTTGATTAGGCATTGCACAGGTGGAGGCGGTCACGGTAGTTCAGAGACTGGCGAGGCAGAGTCTGGTTCCTCTTCTTCAGCTTGTCAACCTCGCAGAAGAGATTATGACGTTGGTCTCCGTGTCGGTCTCCTCTTCGTCATATTGGCCACGGGCGCCCTTGGTGTCTTTGGTCCCATCCTCTTGCACAAGATGATGCCCAGTAAACTGAATGTTGTTCTCATTGTCTTGAAGCAGTTCGGTACTGGTATCATCATCTCTACCGCCTTTGTTCACGTACGTTGCATTCTCCAAATTCTTATCAGCCATTTCTAATCCGCATTGTTAGCTCTACACCCATGCCTTTCTCATGTTCAGCAACCAATGTATCGGTGATTTGGGCTACGAGGCTACCACATCCGCCCTCGTCATGGCCGGCATCTTTCTGTCTTTCCTTGTTGAATATATCGGAAACCGTATTGTCCTCGCAAAGACAAGGGCTTCGGCTGATCTCTCCCTGGCTGAGAAGAAGAGCGTGTGGCTCTCCACCGAAGTTGTCAGTGTTCTTGTCATGGAGTTGGGTATCCTGTTCCACTCTCTCCGTAAGTTTAACCCTCAAAACTAGCACCACAACGTATTAACACAATGAAGTTATTGGCTTGACTCTGGTTGTCGCTGGCGATGAGTACTTCCTCACTCTCTTCGTCGTCATTCTTTTCCATCAAATGTTTGAGGGTATCGCTCTTGGAAGCCGAATCGCCACTATCGGTACTGCTGCCGACACTCACAGCGTCGTTGCCCCTCGTTCTTCTGATGACATATCCTCCGCTCAGGACTCGGACAAGGCTCCTCCCGCTGCTACTGAGACCATCTCCAACGATGAGGCGGCCCATACTGGTCTCTCCATGAAGAAGAAGCTTGGTCTTGCTTCCCTCTTTGCCTTCATCACCCCCATCGGAATGGCCATCGGTATTGGTGTTTTGCAAAAGTTCAACGGCAATGATAAGTCCACGCTTGTCGCCATCGGTACGCTCGACGCTGTCTCCGCCGGTATTCTTATGTGGGTTGGCCTTGTTGAGATGTGGGCTGCAGACTGGATGACTGGAGGACATGGCCACAAGGCTGAGCTCGCTGATGCCAACATCCTCACAACCAGTCTTGCTTTCTTGGGTTTGGTTGCTGGCCTAGTAGTGATGAGTCTTTTGGGCAAGTGGGCATAGACTAAATATATCTGGGCCTCTTATTTAAACTAGAGGAATTTTTGGTTACGGAGTTCTGGTGTCGTGCATTTACGGAGTTGGTCGGGAGAGCATGTGCAGTACTTGATGCTCTGTCTACGGGCGAAAAGCTGTACAGATCTATATAGAAAATGGTGTTGTTAGGATAGAGAATTTGGCACGGATAATGATGAACGATATTTCTACCTGATGCCCACACCACTCGACCAGCTCAATTACGAAGTATTACTTTTCGCCAAACAAGGCGCAGATCCATGCCTCCCTAGTAAACTCCTGTCCCCCATCATCCCTTCAATGCGGCCCTTTCCAGGCTCGGCATCTGGTACCGGGGTGCTTTGGATGTCAAATTCGAGCTGGGTGTGTCGGTGTACGGCAGCACCTGTATGCTGCTATCCACTAGTCTGTACATGATGTCCCAGTGATCCGAAATGTTTGGATTCCCATAAGGTCTCAGGGCTGCAAACCTCATGCTTCACAGGCTGTTAAAATCTTCACCTCACCAAGGGTATCACTTGTACTTACGTGTAATTTCCGGGCGCTATTCTTGTTCCGTTGGCGAGCTTCCCGAACCACCAAAAGACATGGAAGCCACGCGATTCACGTTTGAGTGGGAAGGGTATAGTATCGTTCGAATCGTTAACGGTTGGGTCGAAGAACCAAAATTCTTCGGCGTCTCGCATAGTTGTTGCTGAACCGATGTAGCCAAATTCGCCAACACGAGGAGGATAAGTCCAGAGTGATTCCGTCCAACCTTGCTCAAATATCTGGCAGCTTTTAGAGAGGTTAAGATACAACGTTTTAAGGCGATACTCACATCCCATCTGAGGTTGTGGCAAGCGTATGACAGCCTACCACCAATCTCAATAAAGTCATTCGGGTCTTTGTCGATGTTGAAAGACCAGCTGTTATGTCTATTAGACATTTACGCGGAAATGCGGTGGGTTTCTTACGTCAAGTCCTTGTCAGGATCTGTGACAAACGGTTCAACGATGAACATGTTATCGAATGCCTTTTCGGTATCATACGCAGCTCCTGTCACTGTCATCAGTGGAAAAGGAAATCATAGGCCATGTCAGGGTTAACGAACCTCCATATGGTATAGATAGTTTCTCTCCATGATCGGAGATGACCCATACCTTACCGCCATACAATGGCAAGTAATCGTCATCAACGTCTGGAAGACCAAAAGTGACACTAAATATGATAAGCTGGTGATGGTCTTGTGATGCGTGGGTGACTTACCTCAGCTCTCTTGTCTCTCCTGGTACTATGAAAACTGTATGAGGGAGTCTCACAGGAGGGACGATGTTTTTTGGCTCAATGCCATACAACAGAGAAACCCCGTAGTTGGCGTCGTAGATGTTGAAGCCTGCCTGTGGCTCGAGTTTGAAAGTGTATTGATGTACCCTTCCGCCAGTGTTGGTAATGTTGAACCTCCATCGTGGCTTGAACAGTACGGTATCTTTCAGTGCAAAGGGCTCATACTCAAGTTGGGTATCGTAATTAAGCACCTTGATTGCATCAACCAGCCCAGTTCCGACCTGGAATGGTGGAGCTTTGAATTTCCGATTGAGATGGCTGTTCACAAACGGCAGGCTTTTCCCACTCGAAGCAATGCGATCTCGAAGCATCTTGGCCACTCCAGCACCATTAAAAGCACGCCCACCATATTTCCCGATGAACAGGGCTGCGATACCTGCTATGTATGGCGCGGACATGGATGTCCCACTTAGTTCTTCGTAACTCTGGTTCAACACCGTGCTCGTGATTTCGAAGCCTGGAGCGGCGATATCGGGCTTGAGGAGCAACTCATTAGTCGGTCCCCAAGTGGTGAAGTAGACGGGCATAGGTCCATAGTCCTCGCCGGTTTTGTTGGCATTCGGCTTTGTGGTGACATTAGCAGCGGCCACGGCGAGTACACCATGTCCGACAGCGCCGCTACTGGAGTAGAACGGTCCAAACTCTCCTTCATTGCCAGCTGATGCGATCACCACGACTCCCTTTTCGACCAGTCGGCTAGCTAGAACAGCCCAGGGGTTATCAGACCATCCATTTGGTTGTCCAATGCTTGAAGTAATGATATCGGCCTGCGCAGTTTTCATTAGCATGGCGCCCACATACGTACAATATCACTCACTCCCGCATTGTAAGCATCGCATAATGCTTGCATTATAGTCACTTCGTCAGTTTCCCAGGGATTCTATTTATAGTAAGCCGAAAGTCACATTTCTTCAGACATGTCTCATGCTTACATCGGAGAACACCTTGTAAATAAGAAGTTCCGCATCAGGCGCAACGCCGGTAAGCCTATAGTTACCTTCAGGTCATTTATGCAACCATATTCGTTGTTCAGGAACATACCATTCATTCTCAGCAGCAATAATACCAGCTACATGTGTTCCATGGCCCTGATAATCCATGGGATCATTGTCTGGTCGCTTTGGATGTTTCTTCTCGTTGTGCGTCTCCCCTAGATGAATAGTTAGCTGTCAAGTCAATGGAAACGGCATGGCTCATCTTACACTCGGCTCCCACAAGATCATAACCCCCTTTGACTTTACATCTTGGACCGAAGCAACCGCCAAGCTTGAGAAATTAACGAATGTCGGTCGAAGGTAAGACATAGAAACATACCGCTTTGTGCGTATAGTCAATACCTGTGTCGACTATGGCGACAGTGGCCCCCTTTCCACGTATTCCAGCGGCATGAAGTTTATCGACGCCCGTCCAGTGGTGAAGAGAATAGTTTCTTATTGAGGAAGATGGGCCGTGTTTTGACTGTTCAACTTTGGGCATGGATACTTTGTGTGCTTGCCACACATTGATAACACCCTCCATCTGAAGCAATGTATCTGTATTGTCAGTGTCGGTCTCTACCACCATTCCATTGAAAACATCACTGCAATCAAGACTTTTGAACAGGGGTCTTTTCCGGTCAGGTTTCATAAGAAACTGGCGTGCCAGTGTAGCTAGTCCGTGATTCTGCGAGTGTGAGCAAGTGTTATGAGAACGGAACTGACATCTATTACCGGCTCAACTTCAATGATGAACTTGCGAGTGTCGCCATTGCTCTTTCTATCGATATTGGAAGAACCGACTGCGGATCTGGGCTTTGTTCCGGCATCTACAACAGCTGATGCTGTCAGTAGCAGGGTCTGCAAGAGGTTGTGTAGCTTCATTATAAACGAATGGTCGCAGCAAATGGTAGGTAAGAAGATGTTGTTAATGATGATTCCAATGGGATTCAAGCACAATATATGCCGATTAGGATATGGTAATGGCTGGTGCTTCTCCGGAAGATTAGCTTGAATGGCTCGGTCTCGGAAGGGTGCATTGTCAACGTTGCAACCCCCATCTTGGCCACGGCCGGATAGAAACATGTGCATCCTCTCAAGCTGCCGTTGTAGTTCAAGCGTCCCGTGTTTATGTATCACGGCCAGTGTAAGTGTAATCTTGCCCTAGCATTGCTAAATATCGTGCCAAAGATCAAAGGGTCTACCCAACCCTCCTGGCGAGGTTTCTGCTGTGAGAACACCCCATAACGGGAAGTTGTGTCACTGTCCAACAACCGAATTTAAAGTGAATGGACTATCCGAAGATTGCCATTGCCGGAGCCTTTCATGTAACACAAACGGCCTTTTGAGCCTCTCTGCCGCTGTGATAGGCCGGCTGAAACAGACATTCTCGAACAAGAATGCTGTGACCCTGCGGCTGTGTGACCTGTATCAAGATCTAGCGAGAGATCCAGCAGTGATAGGGAGGTATGTTCAACATGAGATCGCAATCAACGGGTCATTTCCCTTGGTTACAGTACCGTCAAGACGGGACGAAGGATCAAGACCAGGCACATTCATCTCTTGGCGTAGCAGGTATAGTGACAGTACGACACAAACTTGACTGTGTGCTGGCTACCGTCAATGACGGAAACTCTTCAGTGCGAGGCCTTATGCCTGATTGAATATGGCGTTTGGAGAAATTGACAAAGTTCTATATCACTGCTAGAGACAGGAGGAATAGCAGACGTGATCTGGTTCACGTGAGTGTACCTGCCTCTGGATAAAGGAAGGAGCCAGGATGCAATGCACAACCTGGGCAGGCACTCTGTTCGTTATAAACCACGTACTGAAAGCGTAATTGTGCAATTACCTCATATTGGAGCAATTAAATCCAGCAGTCTATTACTTACTATCTAGTAGGTTAGTTGGTGTCTATTAGCTGCACACAACCAAATCACTCAACGCCATGGGCACATTTAAGAACCCCTCAATCTCAAGGGTGATGATGCAATGTCTGAATCGTCATTCGCACTGACAATCGAACAATTTCAAAAGATACGCCTTTGTGATCCAACATCGTTGGCACTTGTCAGTCGTCGACACATGGCAAAGAAAGCTAATGAACAACCGACCACACTTGGACAAGCCTTTGAGCCATTAACCAAAAGTAGTTTCGCTCCCAACCATCAATTAACTGTGACTGGCCTTGGCTTCTAAACCGGACCCGAGTCCGTGCCTGGCGATCTTTCAGCTGGTACGTATTGGCCTGACTCGCGGCGACGACTCCATCACATCCAATTCTGCGCATGTTGGACTTGAAACGGCGATAGAAAAACTCAAATCCCGTCCGTATCTGTCGACTTCTAGAAGGCACAAACATACCAACCGACTCAGATCAGAGCGAAAACTCGGTCAACAAACGGTGACTAGTAAGTAACAGGCTAAAAGCGAAGTCTACTGTATAGCGATGCCCCAGAAGCAAGCACAGAAAGATGGCGCGATAGTCTAGTGCTTGAATATATATATGTTTTCAATTCAGCGCAGTCTGCACTGCTGCAGAAAAACGTGCAGACAGGCCATGCCCAATACAGCATGTCGACAAACAAACCATGCTGGCTCACCGGCTGCGAGCAAGGGGAGCCCGGTTAGTTCGCCGTTGAAAGACGAAGGAGAATGAGGATGGTTCATTGTTAAGCTAATAGTCTATGGAAGTTGGCTCTTTAAACATTGGGAATAACGATTACTTTGATATGCTATGTATATTGGGGCTCGATGAGCTAAACCAGAGTCTCATTTTAATTTCGGCTGATCGACATGATGAAGGACAGTGATTGATTTGCAGTACTGAGTGGCATTCGTCCCACACCTTCAACCTGAGCGGACACTTGGGATCAACGTTTAGATGTGGATCCTGACTCGCAGAAACCATGTGGTTTTTTTTTGGTGCTCTTTTGTTTCTCCTTCTGGCGTGCATCTCAACTCCCGCTTTAGAAGTGAGCCTCTGTTCGGTTACGTTTCATGCCAGGGACCAATGGAACGTCGTCCGTACTCGGTACAGCAAAAAAAAACCTTGCAATTTCGCCTCCATCTTTTTGAGGTGCGCTTCGCTTCGCTTCGCTTCTCCTCTTGTTCACGCAGGAAATAGTGTGATCCCCCTGCGTCAACGTCAACCCGCCAACACCAGAATCATGCTGGTATGGGTAACTAGCGCTTTGGCCGGTGTTGGGAACGGACTTCCAGAGGCCTGAGCTAAAATCGCTTAGGTTTGGTTCGAAATGGGGTCTAGTCGCCGTGCGTAATAAATAAAAAAAGGGACTTTGTCCAGCAGCACCAGCTCGTATTGAACAAAGAACAAAGAGAAATGTTTGTTGATGGCCCGTTAACGGGAGGAAAGGGGAGGGGAAAACGGGAGCTTTGATATCTAACATCTAACAAATGTCCATCTGGTGTTTGTGTGTCCAATATTGAGAGAGATTACTCGTAACTGATCAATCAGAGACAACAGAGCTAGTAAACGATCTCTGCCCAGCCTTACTCCGCAAGTTTCTAGACCTTCGGAGGTTCCTTACCTTTACTTATCTTGCGATGTAGCCCGGAGAGTTATTTTTATTGTATACCCGATGCTTGAAAATGCTGATGTGAAGGAACTTGTTGGTCCTTCTCAAGGGTAAATAGATGGATGTTACGTCTCAGGGGCATCAAGCAGCTGCAAGTTGCTCTGCAAAGACTCAGTCGCATGGCACCCTTGCCTGTATGTGTTCCAATTACCATCCCCTGCAGACCTAGCCACTCCACTTTCCGGGCCTCCCCTGTTGGTCTTTTTTAAGTCTGTAGGCCAGCGAACGAACGAAATCTCCAACTCCAAGGACGAGTAGATGAGAAATAGTGGAGAGACCCAGGTTAGTTAGTGGAGGAGCGACCTTCTGGACGCTATAGCATCCACTAACTCTCCAAAGTTAGAACAACTGTTACCCCCCCGGCGCAATGCATGGTAGCCCGAGCCGGTGGGCCTCTAGGTCTCTAGGCCTTTCACTGGGTGATGGATGGATGCATCCATTCTTATCTGCCATCCAACCCTCCCCCTCGTTCATCTCCTTGGGTCCTGTCGCAATCCTTCTTCTACCCCCAGTCGCCCACCACGCTACCACTTCCTCTTTTACCCTCATTTGATCTGATCTTATTCTTGGACGACAAGGAAACAACACTCCCGGTGATTTGCTTTGCTTCCTCAACTATTAATGTCCTCTACTCTCTTTTAATACGTACAATCACTACATCAACCTTGAGCTACTCGCTACACCAATACCCAAAACCCAAAATCCAAAAAAACGAGCAGCAATTGTCCCTCCCCCTTTCTCTCAAGGATAAACCAAGACAAGACAATCCATACATAACCAGAAACCGGACACGAAACACTCATCATCCAAGTACATACACAACACGAAAGCGTACAGCATTGACTGCGGTACCTTGACTTGAAATCATAATCTCCACATCCTCGGCTTTCTCCATTAAGACCCAGCCTCCCTCGACGCGCTGCACTTACCGAGAGGTCCGACTTGTTAACCCGGCATATCTAAGGGCTCTCATCCTCAACCTCACCCAAGTCCGTCAAAAGGGAAAACCTACCGCAAACACTACCGCAAACATGGGCAAATCTCTCATGGACAAGATCCAAGCCAAGCTGGAGCTCTTCCGTCTTGAGCAACGCTACACCCGTCGCCGTCACAGACGCTCCACCTTTGTCTCTAACGCTGTCTACGTCGATGGCGAGTACGTCTACCAGACTCCCAACAGTACTGGGTCTTCCTCTGGTTCCTCAAACATGGACGCCCTCCATGGTGACAAGGCCGTTGCAAACCCCATGGCCTCCCCCACCACCATTGTCATTGATGATCACCACTTCCCCTCCGAGACTCAGCGCCAGCAACCACAGCAGCAACCGATGGCTACTGCTGAGCGCAAGCGTTTAAACCGATTCAGCTCAATTCCTCAATTTGGCGGCTCCAGCAACAAGCAGATGACCATGCCCAGTGTCAAGGAACGAAGGACCAGCATGATCCGATGAGCAACTCACGGATAACAAGTAAAAACAACAAAAATTAGAAAACCACAAATTTCATGCAACATTCTTCTTTACGATTTGACGGGATCTGGCGCCAAGCGATGGATTACAGCTCTCGCGCAGGCGAAGTGGGCGCATAAACGTGTAAGAAACAGACACACGATTAGATGAGATGAGACGGGATGGAATGAGATGGGATGATACGGATGAATCGGACTTGAAGGATACCCCTAATTCATTCGTGCTTCCCAACGACGACACTCCCAGATTCGTCGTGCACATGTTACAACATCGGATCATACCATACCTCAGCTTTCATTCTGACAGGACGATGCCAGCAGCCATGAGATCTTACTTAACGACTTCACTTGGTTACATTTTCCGCCCCGCCTGCCTCGTTGTCTCTTGTCATACTTGTAGGCTTATCACTAGGCCTCAATCTGACTACGTTGGGAATTTCGAGCGGCAGTGCTTTACTACATTGGACGTATCATCGGTTGTCACCGACACTTTTTTACCCTAATTTTTCTTTTTGTGGCGTCGATTTATACCTTTTTTTTTTCTCTCTCTCTATCATTGTTGCTTCTATTCCTCGCTCTGCTTCCTACGGGAAACAGCCTGGGTTGCCTGTTCACATATGACTTCTAGAGATGGCGGGCAACTGTCGGACGGTATTGCGTCTGTACATATTCGAAAGTAGTATTGCAGTCTGGCCTGGTTTCAAGGAAGAAGGGAAATGTATGGACATGGACGTGTGGAATTTAGCCAAGTTACCAATGAATCAAAACAGATATCACATTCAAACACGTATACGCTTGCGCTATGATCTATGACGAGTGAGGATGAAACAAGCCTTGGCCGGTACGAGTCGTTCTAATCGACATTAATTTCCTGGGTTGCATATGTCACCGTCTTGAGTTGCCATGCTGCTGTAGTTTTAATCCAATCCGTGCATCGTATATGTTGTATTTGAAACAGTCTGGGGTTAATTTATGTCATAAATGTCACGAGCCGGCGACACGAGTGCGAATAAGAAGCATTTGATTTCGACTGTGCGTACATGTCAGACGAAGAGAGGGCTTATCAGCCACCGCAGTTGCATAAAAGTCATATATGATCTTACATCAATTCGTGTCACAAAAACTCAATGCTTCGGCAGCCGGTTTCTAGCGTGCATATCACTCGTGTCATTGGATCACACGATTTAGGAGGCTGGCTGCAACGTTGAATTACATACCTAACGTTGGTTGGCAGTTTGAACGCCAGTGGCTCAACTGGGTAAAGAGAGTCTGGGAGGCGCAGGGTTACAGAAATGGTTTCAAGCTGTGATTGTCATAAAATTCATGTTTGAATAGTTAATGCATAATAAAGGCCTTACCAGAAACACTGATGTTGGCTTAGTAGACACGATGTGTCTCGCTATTCACTGAGCGCGTGCATACCACTACCTATTAATATGTTGGTTTATGCTTTACAGCCAAGGTTTACGTTAAAAACAACAAAGATCGCGATCCGTTAATTCGATCGGAAAACACTCGGGGCAAATGGTGTCAGTGGCTGTTATTACGTAGCAAGAAATAATCCGTGTCTTATTATGGACCACATGGTATTAAATTTCGGGGCGAGGCACTGACCATACCAGGCTAATGTCTGAACAAGTGGGCGGCTTCAAGGTTATATCCTTGATCTCCATTCCTGTCGACTACCCTACACTTAAAGTTGAAGTTGTGTACAACCTCATGTCTTCCTTGTCGTGGACCAGAGGTATGCAATAGGGGGCTATTTAGTACAATTCCACAAGGAAGACAATCTATAATCACGAATTAATACTACAGAATAATGAGAAATTACAATAAATCAAACCAAATAATGAATGTATCAACACTTAAGTTGGCAGCTATGTGTCGCTGCCATGCATGCAATGCTCCCATCTAAATGCAAATCAAACTAATTGTTACTCACCTCCCAGAAAACACCATAAACACCGTTCAATGCTTCAATCATCTTCGAACAAAAAAAGGGGGGGTATAAGGCTATGATATCAAAACCAAAAGCATTGGATGCCCATCCCGTCTCCAAAGGGGAACAAAACGTACGCCACGCTTATTAAACAGCAAGTCCGTCGTAAGCTCTCTCTACGGTTCGACTACCCATACCGGGCACCGTCCTCAACTGACCAAGGCTGTCAATACGACCGCCAGCCTCGTCGTTGCTAACAAGTTCAAGGTAGTCGACCAGATCGCGTGCCCTCTTTGCACCAAACCCGACCAGGCCTCGGATTTGGTCGAGGTCACGCGAGTTGACAATGTCGAGAAGTTGTTGCGTGCGAGGCGAGGCAGGACCTTCGTCTTCACCTGCAAGGATAGACTTAGTAGCAAGGGGCTTGACCTTGGTCTTTCGAGACTTGGACTTTTCAGCTTTATGCACAAACTCATCTTCTTCCACATCGGCCTCAGCAGTCTCATAATCGCAATCCGCATCATCATACACAAGCCTCCGCTTCTTGCGTTCCGAGCGGGGTGTTACTCGACGAGGAGAAGCTGCGGGAGCGTCTCCGTTCAGACGCGATCGTAGTCTCTCGATCTTGCTCAGCAGCTTTGCCTGACCAGGGAAGAACGGCAAAGCCATCTCGTACATCTTAAGAGCGATCTCGTCCTCACCACGTTCCTTGTGTTGACGGGCAGCAAGAAGGAAACGCAAACCATCCGACTTGGAATCGTCTCGCCATTCGTCACTATCGATTCGCTTTTCAAGAGCTTCCAATCGCCTCTGTACCGCCTCGCTGATCTCGGGCTGAACCGTTGGTGGCTGGGACTTTTGCTCATCCGCAATTCGAGCAGCGAGAATCTCGCTGACCTTCTTCTCAACCATAGCCTCGATTTGAGCAGCTGAGACCGTGATGGATGCCGGAGCTACGGGTCTCGAGATCTTGCTCGGTCTCATAGCGGCATCATTCTCAGATGGCCGCTTGACAGGGTTTGTTCGACGAGCCAAATTGGAGCTTGCAAGAGGCCGGCTGACAGGTGCTGCTGGCTTCGACTTGTCAATATAGACACTGAAAGCCTTGACAGGCTTATCGGCTGCTTTTTCAGCAGCCTTGTCGGCCGCCTTGGCAGCGACATTGCCATTGTGCACATTTGTGAGGTTGGCAAGAGGTCGCAGAGGCTGACGTAGAGCATTAGAGCCCGAGAGTCCTGAGTTCGTCCTAGGAACTGATTTGTAGACAATTTCGTTCTCAATCTCCCTGACCTCAATTCGCTTGGCGCGGGAGCTGACGTTCAGACTGCTGAGAGTATCGAGGTGGTAACCTCGCAGAGGTGACAGGTTCAAGATCATGACAGTGATGCCGTTGTTCTGGCCTAGTGACAGAATGCGAGTCATCTTGGACTCTCGGTACGGAATTCGCTTGTCGCCTCGGCCAATAGCATCGATGCACTGGCTCAAGACAAAGAGGCTCTTGTTGATGGCTGCAGATTCCACCAGTCTCTCCTTTGCATTGTCGGTTCGGCGGTTGTCCTCAGAACCAGCCAAATCAATGGCTGATGCTGTACTCTCCTGGACTGAATCGGCGTTCGTTTGAATAAGCTTAACACGGAGGATAGCGTGGCTGCGACTGCTGTGAGCGTTGAGCTTGGTAGCTGCCGTGACGCGGTTGTTGTTGGCCTCGATGTACAACTTTTCGAAATCCTTCAGATCCTCGCAACCTCGTTCAGACAGACCGACTACAACAGTCTTGCCGTTGGCCTCGGCTCGTAGTGGTAGACCGGCGGGTGTTCGCTTTTCGGGTGGCTCAAGGAGATCGAAAACCTTGTCGTTGTAGATTTCATAGTATGATAGTAGAACCTTCACATCGGCCTCGCCCTTTGAGTCCTTCATGATCTTCTTGCCTCGTCGAAATACACTACTAAGCATTCTGGGAATGACACCGCGATCTGCCAGCTTCATACCGCCTCGCATCGTGTGTGTTTTACCCGTACCGGTGACACCATACGCGAATATTGTCACGTCAAATCCCTGGAAAAGAGACTTGACATACGGGGCAACTATCCAAGTCAACACGCGATACGAGGAAAAGCAAGACAAAACGCGTTAGTATAAAATATCTTACCTTCAGCGGTGAACAATTCCTCCTGAGTCGTAGCCCGGTCGTACACGCCGTTGAAAGTAAAGGAGAACTCCTCAACCTCATTCTTTGGGTTGGGAATCTTTACAACCGTGTTGGGCTTGCTAGGATCGACAGCATCGGCTCGAACGATAATATCACATTCGCGCTCCTTTTCGAGCAATGGCCGTATCCTAGAGACGACTCTGACACTCATCGTGTGGGTGTATTCGGTATCGGGAGGATTGGATGTAAGGGGGGGTTCCCGAAAAGTAGTGCAAGCAATAAGCTCAAGGTGTGAAAGACTCGGACTCTATCAGCCTACCAAACTGGCCGCTACCACGTCCAGAAAGTTAGCAAATATTTGCTATAGACAAGATCACAAGGGTATCGGTCTAGTGAGATTGCTGAATGAAAGCACAGACGTTGGCCCAGCAACAGCCACACGTGACATGACGTGGGCACGGGAAAAGCCGCTAACAATACTGGCTCTGGCGTCTGGTTCGAGGTTAGGTGAAGTGAAGAGAAGAGAGGTAGATATACAAGCGATACAGGCTCTTCCGGAGCTCATATATCCAACCAACAACATGCGAGGCCAATTGACGTTATCAAGAGCGGCCCGAGGGCTGAGACTGAGGGCATTGCCTTCATATGCCTGCACCCAGTCTCAGTGCAGGTCCATACAGATCAGCGCTGCGCCGAGCACTGAAGCGCCCAAAGTTGGTGGTGATGCTTTCGGAGCTCTTGAGACGAGGGATCCTGCGGGTATGAATACGCCACACCATTGGGCTATGACTGATAAGCTCTGATATCTGACCTTGCGCTTGTATAGATGCTCGATTCGAGGTCCTCGGCTTGCCATATTCCCTACTATCTGTGACCCTGTCGGCATCGCAGAAGCTCTATACTCGGCGGGGCACATTGGTTGCTGTTGCCGGCAAGCCTGAAAATGTATGTAACTACCAAAGAAGACTATTAGCAGAGTTGTTGACAAAACTCCTAGGCCCAATCTACCCTCTCGATCCTCAACCCGATTACACGAGCCCTCCTCGGCGTCCCCTTCCTCTACCAGCGCATCTCAGCTACAACACCCATCACAGCCTTGATCTCGACCAAGTCACCCACAACCACATTCAAAATCCTCCACCTCGATGGAACAACAGACTGGATGATCGCTCAAAGGAATGCATTGTTGGCTTGGACAGGACATACTCTTTCACCCTCAGCGCGCATCCAGAGCAGCCTGACACTCGCACACTGGGGTAATACACTGTTGACAGGACGAGGTCTTGCTGCTCTATCAGCACCTGGACAGATTTACGAACTTACGCTCAAGGAGGGCGAGGAATTTGTGGCCCACCCTGGAAGTGTTGTTGCATACTCCATCAGTCGATATCCTCCTCAGCCTTTCCGCTTCAAGAGCAACAGTCTACGACTACAGGTGCCCTCACTATCGCGATGGGTCTCAGAGCCTGAGTGGGTCAAGTCTGTTCGCAGCTCTGAGATCTGGAAGTATCTAGCACGAGCTTTCTACGGCTTGAGAACAGCGACCCGCCGAACTATCTGGGGTGATCGCCTCTTCCTACAGTTCCACGGACCTACAAAAATTCTCATGTCTAGCCGAGGTGTGCGTGCTTCAGATGTACTCACCAACAAGCAAGTGAATGAGATCGCCGACTCTGAACCCGGCGTGCTCTCCCAGGCTGTCGAGCTGAGCGACAAGCCCAAGCTGACAGATGGTGCCGGACAGGGACTGGATGATAAATCCGTGACTGGAATTCACGTTGCCAAAGTTGAGAAGGATGGCAAGGTCAAGTTCGAAGATAACAAGGACCTTAAGGAGTTTATCCGATGAAACGATGCATGTAAAGAAAGGTAAAAGCCAATGAGCGATATTACATAGATGAAAAAAGGAGAGGGAAGATGAGCCAGAAGTTTTTATACAACGTTTGTTTTATGTATGATTATCCATCATAGAGCTGGAGCCTTTATGTATCAATATTCAGAAGTTGAAACAAACATCGCAGTTTCACAATCACACGTGCTTCTGAGGCCTACCAGTTGGTTGATTCTTCCAGTGTTCGGGGTCAACGTCTTCCTTATCTCAAATCAACATGCCAGAGAGGCTTCGGCATGAGTTTGATAAGCCAGCTGTTACCCTCGTGAGGTCATGTTGAATGGTCAGACCGGCTCATGGACTGGATAATCGAGAGGGATAAACGGCCAAGCGCCCGTTGTCTCAAGGACGGTAAAGTAAAGATAGTGCAGGCCGATCAACAGGCTAAAGACTTGTTACAGTGCACTTGACTGATTCATGGTCAGCTACAGCACCAGAACTAACCAATGGTTATATCAAGCTGCGACAAAATTCCTTGGATGACTGTAAGAAAATGATTGCATACAGAAGATCTTCCCATGTCTTGACTATTGGACAGTTTCGTTTACCACTCACGTTTTTGGTTAGGCAGTTCGCGACTCGGCTTCTTCTTAAGTCCACAAGTTGTAGTGGGATGCGAAATTCCACACGTGTATTATTCAGCCCTGATGTCGAATGAAGTGACTCCTTGGAGAGAGAGTGAGTTCTATTGGACAGAGCTAGACATATGCAGTTTCAATCAAGTGAGTCAGAGAACAACGGGAGCCGAGATATGTTGAATTCTTTCATCCGTCAGCTCGGCCGGAACAGAAACGCGACCATGTTAAGGCCGAGGAGAATCACTAATAATGCCCACCCCATCTATCTACGGTACAATGTACCTACACCACTAGACTAGGCTACGACGGCTTTATGATCCGGGGTAGAGATAATCCCGATCTTTACGCCGCTCTGGCGATTCAACAGACCGAGATCTAGAATTGCAGATTCCTGCAGTTTCAGTAAGATGTGCATACTGCTACCCCTACCTACCCCACCCAGGGATCAAGAAATGGCATTAGAAATGAGCGATGTAGTAGTTAGTCTCATAGGTAATGACTAGGGTGAATGTGATATATATGTGGATGGGTAGATGGAGGTGGCAGCAACTCCATGGACATTTTCCACGGTGCACTGATAACCAGTGGTATTATATAAGTAAATCTTTCTGCTACGTCGACAATGATTGATCGAGTACTGCATGCCACTGTCAACTAAAGCATAATATTTGGCCAGCAATCTTTCCTTCTGACACATCTTGATAATAATTAATCCTACTTTACGCAATCACAATCATGCCTCGATCAACCACATCCTCGTCCTCGGACACAATTAATGACAGAACAATTCAGCCAGCAATATCAACAGACCCCGAGAAACGAAGCCACCAAGCAACGAACAAGTCAGAAGCCAACATACATCCGGTGTCTATCAACAACGTCGCAGTAGACCTTGAACGTGGTGACGATGACGAAAAGAAACAAACCCAGCAGCAGCCTCCAGCAGGAGGTCCTCCACCTGGAATGGCCCCAGCCGATTTCCCTGATGGAGGACTCGAGGCTTGGCTCGTCGTCTTTGGCGGTTGGTGTGCGCTGTTCTGCACATTTGGACTTGTAAACTGTGTGGGAGTCTTTCAGAAATATTATGTTTCTGGACCGCTCAGGGATCATGACAGCTCTGCTGTGAGTTGGATTATGTCTGTAGAGGTATTCTTCATGGTATTCTGCAGTGCTCTGGTACGTATAGCCTTGCCCTTCGATGAAGTTGCATCTCACCAACCTTTGAAATAGTTCGGTCGTTTTTTCGATACCTATGGCCCAAAGTATCTCCTCTGGTGCGGCACTGTTGCCTACATCTTTGGTCTGATGATGGTATCCTTGTCAACAGAATACTACCAGTTCTTCCTTTCGCAATCCATTGTCGCATCCATCGGCTCCAGCGCTGTATTCAACGCCTCCATGTCCTCTCTTGTCACTTGGTTCTTTAGACGGCGTGCGGCGGCTTTCGGTATTATGGTATCAGGATCGTCTCTCGGAGGCGTTATTCTTCCAATCATGATGGATAAGATGATCAAGAGTGTGGGCTTTCCCTGGATGATGCGAACTATGGCTTTTATGTTCCTTGTTCTGCTCGGCATTGCTTGCCTCACTGTCAAGTCTCGTCTGCCTCCTCGCCCTAGGCCTTTCATCTTCATGGAATATCTCAACGGTCTTCGTGAACTCCCCATCCTCATCACTGTCTTTGGGTTCTTCCTTTTTATGTGGGGAATGTTTCTTCCTTTCAACTATGTCCTGCTCCAGGCTCAGGCGGCAGGCATGTCTGAGACATTGATTCCTTATTTGTTGCCTATCCTCAATGCTGTGAGGTAAGTCGTATCACTCCGGGTAATGCAGGTTGTTATGTATTAACATGGCCCCAGCATCTTCGGCCGTATCATCCCAGGCATCATTGCCGACAAACTTGGCCGATTTAATGTAATGATTGCCATCACCTTTATTTCTGCACTCTTCTGCCTGTGTGTCTGGATTCCTGTGGACAACACTGCCGGTATTGTTGTTTTTGCCGTCATTTTTGGTTTCGCCTCTGGTGGTTACATCAGCCTTGTCCCGACTCTGATCGCCCAGCTCTCCGATATCCGTCAAATTGGCACTCGCGTCGGCGCTGCGTTTGCCGTTGCGTCTTTTGGTGCTCTGACCGGAAGTCCCATCGGTGGCGCGATTGTGTCTGCCCAGGATGGCAATTATTTGGGCCTGCAGCTTTTCTGCGGTTGCTCTATGATGGCAGGTTGTATCGCCTTTATTTGCGCACGTTATGTGCAAGTTGGTTTCAAGATTGTCAAAGTTTGAGCCACACGTTTCGAAAACTATTCCTTGATGAATTACTCGGGGTAAGTTTAACAAAGTGTAGGCGTAAAAAAGATCCGACTTGGTGGGACAATGAAGTGTAGTGGGTTCTTGGCATAATGTAATACAGCGATAAAAGTCGGCGACTCTGGAAACATTAGATCCCCACCCAGGCACACGATATCTAGTACTAGGAATAATCGATGAAAATCAAAACAAAGAAGACGCCTTGCATTATCTTGATTCAGGACATGTTACCACAGGAACGGACTAATAAATTCTATATAATTCAATGAATTAGCTTGTGCTAGAGGAAGCTTAAGGTAACATGAATAGGGTATAGGAATGTTCTCAGGAATGTAGATAGATAATGGTGAAATGTTTAATCATTAGAGATCATAAACAGCTTCTGATTTGGGATATCATCATTGAAGGGGAGGATGGGGAGAAAAAATTAAGGGCATACATACAATACGTGTGAGCGCAAATAGGGTGTCGTGAAGGGAGCATGAACCTATCAAGTCTGAGGACAGTTAGTGTTGTTCAGAAAGGTAACAACCAAACTTTGATATGAGTAGGCAAGGGCTCAGGAATGTAGATAGATATTGGTGAATGTTTGAATCATTAGAGATCATAAACAGCTTCTGATTTGGTATATCATCATAGCGAAGGGGGAGAAGGAAGACGAGTTTCACATGCCATAAATAGTCATATTATCGCGTTTCGTGCAACAAAATGGTGTAAAGCTACAAAATTCTAAACACGATCAGTAAACAAGTTCTTCAATAGTCATGAAAGCATGTTGTTGAAGGGAATTTGCTCAGGAATGTTGATAGATAGATATTGGTAATTGGTTTAATCATCAAAGATCATAAACAGCTTCTGGGTTTGGGGTATCATCATTGCAAATAGAGGGGTAGTGCCAGGGCCTATGAAGGGATAAGTGAAAACTTACCTCATGAAAGAAACCTAACTGCCCATGCGTGAGATGGCACAGTTCAGGGCTTCACATGGAAACAAAACAAAACTCCAATTCTCTAGTGTAGCATCTCTTCCTCGCCCAGAAGAGTTATGTACAATCGCTCCCGTCCCGTTCGCCTGCTTGTCGTTTTGTGCTTTATTGGCTACCCTCGACAGTTGCCTTAATGGGGTTAATCTCAACCCCGTACTTCTGGCTAAGTCGCTCCGCCCTTCGCTCATCGTATCCAGGAGGTCGAATGCCTGTTGTAATGTGAGATGCTGCATCAAGAGAGTGACGCAATGCGCGACTTACCTCGACCCTCGCCAATCTCTGAGATAGTCTGCTCAATAGGCAGTCTGGTGGATCGTCGGACGATTTCCTTACGCTCAAACTCATCGCCCTCTCGCTTGAAAGTGTCATATCGACCGCCAAGGTAGTGGAACGTACCCTGGAAGGCGGCAAGACCACTACCGAGACCCATGACGATGGGCATTCGTTTTGCTGTAGCGTGTCAGACCAAATGCGCTAATGTATTGAGCCGTGGATTTATCTCATACTGGGGAGGCCAAGGACAGCACCCAAGGCAAAACCACCGAGGGCGGCAGAGAAGGAGTCGTCCTTCTCACGAAGGTTCATTGAGGTTCGCGAAGCAAAGACATATGCGGCGGGGGCGGCGGCTGGAGGATGGAGTCAGTATTACAAAACTCTCAATTGAACTTTCAACCGGTGTACCTCCGAGGCCAATGATGGCAGAGCCGCGGGTGAAGACGCTCAGAATGCCGACATTGTGCTTAGCCATAGCATTCTTGACGGAAGAGAGGAAGAGACCACTGAGACCACCAATCACGGCAGCCTTTGCAGTGTCGTCGAGGACATCGTGAGGCTTGAAGTAGGTGTCGGGCTTCTTGTGAGCCGGAAAGTTCGCGCTCGACGGGTGCTCCATGGCGATTGCAATTGCTGAGGGAGGAGTTGGGAGCTTTTATCTTGGGCCTGAGGTTGAAGCCGAGCTATGGAAACAGTAGGATTGCGAGCCTCCACTGCAACACGTGACGTTGGTCATTCAATTGCCTTGATCTCATTGGTTCATGCAAGCTCGATTGAATTCTAGATGATGGCTCGGTACGTACCTTCTCTAAATATGCCCCAGTCTGTAAGAAAAATCTATGAGCTTGACAAGATATTCTTCCGTTTGAACTTCAAACAGTGTTTAAACAAGGCCAAAACCACACATTGCCTCTTTGATTCTCATAACATAATTCTACTGCCCACTTCCACTATCTTTCAAAATATAAACAGCACTAAACTCAGTATCAAACAGAGCATCATACAACGCCTCTTACACGGTTGGATATAAGAGTATCACTCGTCAGTCTATAACTGGACCAGACTCAAACTTACTGAACTCCTGAAACCTCGATAAAATACTTGAGAACAACAAGTCTTATAAGCATCCCGACTAAAGCAGTATCAAAATGGATTTGGATCCGGTTCATAAGCCATCTCAAGTTGAAGAGACAAAGGAGCAGAGCAACGGGCAGGGTCAAGTCGAACAAAATCATGCTCAACAAGATCCCACTACAGGCCCTCAGGCAGAGCAAAAAGAAGCTATAGTCCCCTCTCAAATTTCTACTGTTCCTCAAAAGCGACCTGCCGAAGATGAACCCGCTCCACCCATGTCAAAGAACGCACTTAAGCGTCTGAGGAAGCAGCAACAATGGGAAGCCGGTAAAGAAGACCGAAAGCAGAAGCGCAAGGATAGCCGAATTGCTCGAAAATTCCGCAAGCGCGAGGAAAGAGACGCCCTCATCGCCCAGGGCATAAACCCCTACGCCAACAAGCAGAAGCCACCTTCAGTAAACGTTCCCATCTCACTCATCTTCGATTGCGAGTTTGAGCAGTACATGCGGGAGAAGGAGATCATCTCGCTCGGCAGTCAGATTACTAGGTCGTATTCGGAGAACAAGAATGCGAGGTATCGCACTAATATTTACGTCTCAAACTGGAACGGAAAGCTGGCTGAGCGTTTCCATCAGATTCTCGATGACAAGCACCAGAACTGGAAGGGCATCGACTTCGTGGAAGGGAATTTTATCGAGTGCGCGGAAAAGGCTCGCGAGAAGATGAAGCGCGACAATATGATCGAGCCCCTTCAACGAAGTCTCACAGAAAAGAGCCCCTGGACGAGGGACGAGCAGGACCCTCTCCCTCTTCCTGATCCCGAGCCTGAGCCTCGCCCCGAATATAGCGATATTGTCTATCTGTCGTCAGATTCACCATACACACTCGAACGTCTTGAGCCCAACACGAGCTATGTCATCGGTGGTCTTGTTGACAAGAACCGTGAAAAGGGATTGTGCTACAAGCGAGCGAGGGAACGTGGTATCCGCACGGCTCGGTTGCCTATCGGTCAGTACATGGTCATGCAAAGTCGAACGGTTCTTACGACGAATCACGTCGTCGAGATCATGCTTAAGTGGCTCGAGTACGAGAACTGGGGCGAAGCCTTCATGAGCGTCATTCCCAAGCGTAAGGGAGGCCAGTTGAAAGAGCAGCAGGGTGCCTCAACCGGAACTCAGGAAGCAGAAGGTGCCGAAGAAGAGGAGAATGAGGAAATCAAGGACCCTGATGCTGAGGAGCCTTCCTCTGAGCAAAACACACCTGAAGTTGAGGGTGCTTCCAAGTAAAATATCTATTTGTATTAACGGATGCCGTACTGCGCCAGCTAAGTCCAGACCAAAATGCTAAATTTACCGCATTTACACTGTTCATAAGTCCATCCAGCTTCATATAATGTCTAAAATTCCATGCTTTCCTCATCTCTCTCCCGCTTAACCTTGACGTCCTTCTCGTCCTTCATCAACCCGTTGACGAAGTGTCTAAACTGGTCGATATAAGGCTTCAGGCTCGTCTTTTCCCAATCAGCGATACCCTTACCGCCCTCTTCATCCTCGCTCTTCCAAGAGTCGATCTCTGCTAGAAGACCCTGTACCGTAGGCACGCCCAGCGGGTCGAAATCCTCGAGGTTCTTGGTGTTGATAGGTACACATACACGGCCGGTACCGGGATGCACGACAAAAGGACTCTTGAGCAAATGGTTGAGCTTCTTGCTGACTTCAATATCAAGTCGGGGGTAGGTGTACTCCAGGACAATATCTTGTTTGGCTTCCAGGAGCTGTCTGGCATCGAGGTTCTTGCTGGCGCCTGACTTTGCTACAGCATCGATGTCCGCCCATTTGGAGGCCGAGGCACGTCCTGGGGCAGCATCCCATTTCCTTCGTAGTGACTCATTGAGGTTCTGGTTTGGCAGAAGCTGCAGAAGCTTCTCAGACTGTTCGGGAGAGGCCCAGGGGTCTTGCATCTCAAGAACATCCTCCTGAAAATGAGTCTTGAGGATTTCCAAGCTTCGTCTAGGGAGCGTTAGTACTCGATGTTTTGAAGCGACTGTATGAACTTACGCAAGATGAGGGTGTAGCGGTCTCCTCACGTTGACCTTCTTTCCACTCTGTGCACCTCCCCTAACCACCTCGAGGTAGCCAGCAATTGCCCTTCTCTTCTGATCGTCCATGCCTCGAACTTTCTTATCGCAAACCCAGGCGTGAGCACCTCGTCGACCCGAGTACACCCACATGATGTGCTTGAAGCCAAAGTCTTCCCTAAGCGCCACATCAACCACTTTAATAGCCATGGTCATGAACTGCCAGCACTTGTTGCAGATGTTCGCCTTGTCACAGCATGTTCGGATATCGTCGTAGTCTGTCAAATCGATATCGAAGCACAATTCCTTCGCAAGGGGTTTGAAAGCAGATGAGTTTCGTAGTGTCTTTCGATCGCGCGGGTTGGTAGTGTAAACGGGACCAATTTCGAAACGAGATGGCATCAATCGAAGGACGTCTTTTCGCAGTCTGTGTTATGGTGAGCGCTTTGGTAGCTATAGTTGAAGATAGTACATACGTATCAGCAGTAGGGAAAGATTGATATCGGAGGTAGGCATCATTCTGTAAGGTAAAGGCAAACTCTCGATTGCCAAAGTCGTTGGTTGGTGTAGGACTATGGTTAAGCCACTGGAATAGGTATCGCCAAGGGAACAATCGCTGGTAGAAACTTCGCATGACTTCTGGGTCTGAAGCCTTCAAAGACATGGCATCGCTGTAACTAGTCAGTCCACCTGCAAGCCTCGAGCTTCTGCACTTTCACTCACAACAGGGGAGCAACTGGTGAACTGGGCTGGATCGCCGCAGAACTTGTAGGAAACTCATCATCAGAGTCGACGTCGTCAAACAAATCCTCAAGCTGCTTGACTTCCTTCTTAACATCTTCCGTGTCACTCATCTTGGTATCGCTCTCTGTCGCATTGGGGGTATTGTCTGAAATTCCAGTTTCCTCTACCGGCTCGTCCTTAACGTTGCTAGGGGTTGACATGGCTTCAACGTCAATGGAATGGGGTATTTTCCCTCGATCGAGAAGAACTGTATGTAAGATCAATTCTTTGATAGTCGTATAATTTTGAAGTTGTCGTCAGTCCCTGGTTGTCGCAGTGATGGAATAGCAAGATTAAACTAAAGACGGGCAGCAGACATGGGGTGGAACGCGTTGAGCGAGTCTCTCCGCGTAAAGAGATTTCCACTTTGGGTACCAGGAAGAGGTACGTACTACTAAACAACTTACTCATGTCTTCACTTACATCTCTCCACCACTTTATATTCATTCCCAGTCTGGAAAGTATGGCTGATAATCGTGTTCAAAAATAAAATAAAATAGTCATTGAAAACATACTTTTAGTTCATGTCGGAATTAGAACCAGAATCTATATCTATGTTCGTGGGTATTATCTAAAATATTCACCATTCTACCTATAAACACATCTTACTCGACTTCTTCAATCTTCTTAATCATATCACCTCCAATTCTTGCAATTTCTGACAACACAGCCTTTCGGTTCACCACCACAACATCGCCATCTTCGCCGGCGACATTGTGGAAGTTATAAGGCAGACCAGCTCGGAACTTTTGCTGCTGAAGCTTCGGGTTCCATATGGCGCCAATGACAGCGTCGTCTTCGTCGCCATTGTGGGTTCCCCTGAAGAAGACAAGTGTGTCCTCGTACACGCGCTGGAGCTCCTGCATAAAGACATCGACAGGGTGAGCGCGGATGGGGAGGGGTGCACGACCTGTTCGTTCGTCGAGGTTCTTGAATTGGGAATGGCGGCGAGCTGAAGGGTCGGAAGCTGCCTCTCGAAGAATTGAGCGGATGGCCTTACGGGAAAGATGGAAGAGAACATCGTAGTCCTCAAGTGATGTGTCAAAAAGATCGGTAGCGTCGATGTGGTAGCCGCTGTCTTTGACAAGCTTGCATGCGGCCTTGGCCAATCGTGTCATGCGCGAAGCAATGAGCTTAGAGGGCCCGTTACGAGTGTAGGCCAAGCCAGACGTATCGACAGAGGTGGCAACAAACATGACTGTGTGGTTCATGTTCGGGTCCTTCTTGCGCCAAGCCTCAAGCTCATGACGGATGGTGTGCCTATCGTCATCTGTCAATTCCTCAGCCGAATCGACAAGCAAAGGCTCATCACGCCAATCCCACCGAGATAGAAAAGTCAAGGTGCGCAAAAAGCCCGTTGAAGCACTTGTGGGTGCGCGCCACGGGTAGGGTTGCAAGAAGACGTTCAGGACAAAGAGCTCAATGAGCTCTTCGCTGATGTGGCCTGAGAGCTTGTGGGCGTTGAACCATTGCTTCACCAGGCGAATGGTCTGAGACAGAGGGTGAAGTCTAGTACAGAAAGTTGCGATGGTTTGTGTATGGATTGGGAGGGTCTCAAAGAACCACTTAGTTCGAGCGAGGACCTCTTCTGACTCCTCACGGATACGAGGGTCAAGTGTCTTGTTCTTGATCTGTCGCTCAAGCAGGATGTCTTCCAAATCAGCATGAATCCTCAACCGGAATGCTGCTCCAGTATCATAGACGATATCGAGATAGGCCAAGTTCTCGATCCCAATCTCCTTGTTGTCTCGACCAAGGTAAGTTTTGATATTCTCTTTGGTTGATGTCAGACGCCTATCGAAATCGAGTAAAAACTCAATCTTGGTCTCTTGAATAGCTACCGAATTCTCCGGCCACCGGCCTGATGCCTCAAAGTAAATGTTGACATCTATAGGCTCGATGGTTCCTGTATGGAAGCCAGGTGTGGGAGCATCAACGGAAGCATATCTGGCAGCTGGTGATACTGCTGAAAGTTGTCGGATCTGCAATGGTAAATCTTCGAGGTTTCGAATATCGTATTCGAGAGTTTGGAAAGCTCGTCGGGCAGCGTCAAAAGCCTCCTTATCCATATGCGAGAAGGTGACTATGTTGGAGAAACCTGCGCCAAATGCAGTAATGTCTCCGCTATCAACCTTGAGGTGACGCTTCAAGGTATGCTTAGCAATCTCCTCGCAGATCTGGAATGGCACCTTGCTTGACCACTCAACGCACTCAAGAATACTCCCATCCTTGAAGCGACGCAACTCAGCCTTATCACCCCAGAATCGACGGAACTTCGCAGCTTCGTCTGGTTCTTCAGCTGGAGGGCCATGCTCCATTTGACGACCCATTTGGGCAAACTCGAACATGACGGCAAACTGAACTTTGCCAGAGTCTGAAGGTGGTGCGGAGCCCAGTTTCCAACCAGCCTTTGAAGGCAACTGGAAATGCAAGAGGTGGGATCGATTACCATAGGCCTTCTTGAGCACTTTGTGGGCTTCCAAGCTGAAATCCCAAGCGGATCCTCTACAGTCAGGAGACTCCAAATGCTTGGAAACGTGGCTCTTGAGCTCAAAAATGGCGTCGAACGTCTGGAGGAGAGCATCTGACTTGATGATAAACGTAGGGGCAAACTTGTCGGCAGCTTCGTCGGCGAAGTTATCTGTGGTTGATTTGGCGTGCATCTGAAGGAGGCTGGCAGACCAGGGGCTCATCTTTGACATGACGTTGAGTTCTCTGATAGGGTCGTACATGACAGGGCCGGCCTCTCGAACGGTATCGGCTCTTATCTTGGAAGAGCCAAAAACGAATGGCTTTTCGTTAAAATCGGTGGCCGAAAGGAATTGAATGGCAGCCTTGAAAAGCTCAGTACTACTGAGAGAGTTGGAAAATAAGGCCTTGCCATTGCGTCCACCCATCTGGAGCAGCAAAGCAATCATAACAGACCACTCAAAATGGCCAAATCCACCTTGAGACAAGGAACTGCCGAAGCCTCTCTGTTGCAGCCAGATTCGTCCCAGCACACAGGCATCAGTTAGGCCTGGACACTCATTCTTGGCGTGTGTAAGGACGCGCAAGTAGGAAATGAATGTTTCCTCCGCTTTCAAAGTAGAGTTGTAGAAGGGAGTGCCGGACTTGGTCTTCTTGTCGTCAGTCTCGCCAATTCGGTTGTTGTTAGAAGTAGGAAGCAACTTTGACCTAGGGAAGAGTCCCTCAGGCGCACATGGGATAAGCCGAATGGTATACGGAGATTTGGAGGCCTTTGCCTTCTTCTTCTTCTTGGAAGCCGTTTCCTTGGTCTCTTTGTCCTCGTCCTCCTCTTCAGGCTTGGGTCGAAGTGCGAGCACAGGCAGAAGCGGGTTCTCGTTCAAGTATTCGAAACTGATGTCCATCGAATCATCCAACTCTTTCTTAACGCTAGCGGCGATGTAGGCGATGTAGTAGGCTCTTCGATAGAAGTATCGCATGCTCGTAAAGTCCTTCTCCTGGAACATGGTTTTGGGCATTTGGACTACCATATCGACTCCTTGCGACTGAGACTTGACCATGGTCTTGGCGACGTAACTGCCGACGACATTGTAGGAAGCTGGCTTCTCGTAGGAAAGCTTGTAGGGCGCGTCTTTTGCGGGCTTCGGGTCGGGGTATGGAATGACTATGCGATGCTTCTTCTCAAAGCGAGTGCTGATTTGGGTGATCTTGAAAATTTGTTAGTCTTGAGGGTAGGCGGCTTGTAGCAGAATAGAACGAACAGGTTCGGGACCATGCGGTGTTGCATTGTCAATAGCCTCCTTTAATCGATGCAGATGTTCATCGACTTCCTTCAATGCCTTTCCGTAATCGAGCTTTGCTTCTTTCAAGAGCTCGTCGGTTTGGAGCACGAACGTGCTAGCGGTTGAAACACGAGCAGAACTGCGAGCCTCAAAATCAATGAGGGCATCGTGTCTTAGGCCATACCCAGCATGATCTATCTTTCGTCGTTTCGAATTTGATTCCATGGCGATCGAGGGTAATGCGCCAGCTGTGGGAATGGCGGAAATTGTCGTCGTTTCGGAGGGTCCTTGATGTTGAAGCTGTCGTTATTGTTTGGCCAGACCCAACTAATTTTTTTTCTGCGACGATGGGATCTGCGGGGCGATAAGATTCTTATCAGTTGATGTACGTACCTCGAAAGATGCTGCCCCCTAGCTTCATGGTTCAACCATCCGACAGGGTCCAAAAGTGTCTGTGTGATGGACTATGGGGTTTATTTACAATAAAGGAAATACTACTGCAAATGCTCAATTATGATTATGATTAATCTAGATTGATTCTCAGTACTCAGTGTATCTTGGTATGTCTTTGTAATGAATCTCAATTTAGATTAAAGTTAGTAGAGTCTGAGCGAATGCCATGTTACTATAAGTGAATAGATGAGTGATGGATAACTATTTGATCAACAAAAGCTCAAATTGGGTCGTGTCATAATCACCATTCGATCTTGATCTCCCTTAAAATCCTGGCCCTCTTTAAGTATGGAGTCAATCGTTCGTTGGACCTTTGCTTTCTTTGAAAAAGAAAAAAAAAAAAAAAGTTGACGCCAGATCTTCCTTGCACAAAGATTTATGTAGCTACTGCAGCATGAGCATGTGGGATTTGTCCAGGCGATCACTTCTGATGAACTCCTTGCTTTGATAAAACCCGCCAAATAAAGCCCGACTTGCAGAACGCTCAGGCCAATTCGGTCCAGCCTATCCAGTCTATCCACTCAGATGTCCAACAGCATTAGCCTATTATCTCAACCACCTGTTTTATTCAAACCTCACTTCGCCCTTTATTTCCATGCATAGGTACTGATACATTAGTTTCTCCCCACCATGTTAATCACGATCGGTGATCGTCACCCAAATTCTAGTATCGGAAACTGAGACAACTCAACCATGAACCCACGACACTAAATCAATCCGAACTATGTGTGTAAATTAAGAAACGTAACATGCTAAGACAAATGTCCGTTCAGCCGTGGGATATCGGGTTGTTTACCATTCCAGCCAAAACTCTAGACACCGAGAAAAACTAGGGTCTTGGACACCAACACACACAGCTCAGTCTTTTCTGGTTTGACAAGACACGCATGATAATGATGATGGACATCACGTCGAGACACCAACGAGCTGTCCGTTGCATTAGCCTTGCGCAACCGGAACCCCTACCTTGCTGCAGGTTTCTTTCGCCCTTGACGTCTTTTGGCCGTTTTTAGTTAACAATTGGTCCTTTGACGTAACACCAGTGGTAAAATGGTCCCGTCCAGCGTTTGTTTTGTTTTGGTGATGTTCTGAATGTCTTGCCTCTCCTTGCCTTAACCTCCATACCACTTAGCCTAAGTTGGCCTGGCAAGCCCCAGATAGAACCAACGCCAAGTTCCGTACTTTCAATCTCGAATCATTGCGTTTTGGGTGTTTTATGGCTTATGCACATCAAGGCACGCAACATGTAAGGAGACTCTGCGTTTGGAGTTCTCGGAGATTGCCTCCTCTTTTTTGCCAGTGGCTATAAGAACAAGGAAACCCATGTCTGCCATCCGATGGCTTGTTGCTCATGTAAATCATATAACCTGTCTAGTCATCTGGTTATTAATAATCCGGCTGTGGTCGCCGTCGGCTTGTGTTATCGTCTCTGATTCACTTCCCAAATATCTTTCTTTTGTTAGACTATCGCCTCACGGCTTGTCGCTTCTCTTTTCATTTCGTAATACTAAACCGAGCTTGAATCACTTGATACTCCTGCTGGCAAGTTTCAACTGAGTCAGTCTTGGTTGATAACCTTTACACCTTGTCGAAAATGGAATCGTATACAAAACAACGACCTTCTCTCTCGCTCTCCTCATCAGCCATGGACCTGGACACGGATCGGAGAACACCATCGCCAGTGCCTTCATTGGGCCACGACGCCCTCCACACTCCCATTGCAGAGATGCCTACTCCGCCTGCTTTTGCATCGACCTTTTCTCTGCCCATTACTGCCGCCAAAAACCTGTCGGCTGGAGCCCACCGTTCTCCAGATATCACAAACGACAACGACTTATTGCCTCCTTTACTGCCTCAGACCGAAACATGTGGAATCGAGAGACACGATGTGTCTGTCATTGGCGGCACTCCCGACTTTCTTCTACTGTACTGCTTCAACATAGAGAGAGCGGTAAACTTTTACTCGCGTTGCTTCGGTTGGAAGTTTCATGGGGACATGAACGCCCATCAGGCTGACGATCCATACATGAGGCGATGGGGATCATCCCACTTCGACACACAGCCCATGAACTTTTTCAACTCAAGTCAGAGTGGTGACTCTCGCATCACCGGTGCCCTGATTCAGATCAGAAGCACAGGAGATGACGGTGCTCATCTTGAACACAGGCGACAGATGGCCATGGCGGGTAGCGCAACGCCTTCGTGTCATATTCGAGTTGCTGATATTGAGACGGCCGAGTCATTGATCGAGTATCATTTCGGCGAGGTCAAGCAGCTACGGTTCGGTGTTCGACAATGCATTATGGACATTGGAGAGTTTGTCGACCCTGAAGGAAACTTGATCGGGCTCGTATCTCTTCACCCGGAAAATGCTACAACCGCCATGAGCGTGGATGGATGAGCAAATGTGGTGAGCTCTCATCATGGGAAATGGCTGCAGTGGAGGAGGATAAAGGAATACCCGGTGGTTTATTATCATTCATCCGCTTATGAGAGCTTGTCTCTTAGAGAATTTGTCATTATCATGGTTTATCGGCACAGTCATTGACATGTTTTGGAGTTTTGGCGTTTTATTTTTTGGGTCAAAATATCATGGAGTATTTGGCTTGGCGTTGTGCTGTATTGCAGTGCACAGAAAGGGAAGAAGATGGAGGAGAGGGGATCTCCGTATTAGCTCGCTTCCCAGGTTAGCAGCCGGCTTCGGGTCGGTCGGATAGTGGCCGGAACGGCAAGCAAACAAGCATCGAGCAAGAGGTAGTCACAATAATTACTACTAATACAAACAATGCCAATAAATAAAGCGGTGGGTGAACCCCGAGATCTTCCTGTTTTTGCACCAGTAAATTTGCCTAACAAAGTTAGCCCTATCCCGACCAAATACTCTTCTGTTTAGCTGTCATGAGAAGCTTAGTTCCGTCATGTCATGACAGCCATAGAAACAAAAGTCAACTCCCGAAACGAATAGCCGCCCGGTCGACTTCGGAAAACCCATTACCCATGGATCAGTTGGCCGCCCACTAAAACCACAGCAGGATAGCTCTGGACAGGTTGTCCCCGGACTTGAGTCCCCGCTGTCCCTCAGCTACTGTACAGTGCCATTATCCTCGGTCCCCACTACGCGACAGGACACCGGGGAGATCTTCCACGGCCACTTCCCGTAGGTTGGAGCCCCTAATTTGCCAACTGAAGCTTGTAGTGATTGCGCCGTGTAGCGCTGTCCATCACGGTGTGAGAGTCTTTTACGACTTGCTCCTGTCATCGGCTTCCCCACGATTTCCCGAATGCCGATTCCTGCTTCCGAGTTTACGCTCAAGCTCAGGAAGATGCTTCACGGAGATGGACCCACGGCCAGCACCGGCCTTCATAAACGGATATCCCCCGCCAACGGCCCGCCGATTTCTATCGTCATTCGGCTCAAGCTCTCTCCCTCTTTCTCTGATATTATCCTTCATCTACCTTCTTTCACTCCAATTCCTATTATAAAGGAATCTCCGGTGCATGAAGCTTAATAGATCTCCGAATTAGCATACATTGTAGCTTACAGAAAGCTTTCTCATCTTCTCACCCTTTCTCTCACCAGCCACACATAACAAGATGTCCTCCACAGCTTTCCGGTTACGGACTCTTCGAGTTTTCGCTCGCAGCCCCGTCAACGTAGGTTTATTCATGATCAAGCGCGCATCATGCGATTCTAGGCACATACTAACAGCTCCAAGCCCAATGCCGCTCTTGCGCGATCATTCTCAGCGACTGCTCGTCGCGCCGAGATCAACAAGGTCTTCCCCTCAGCTAAGGAAGCTCTCAAGGACATGAAGCCTAACTCGACTCTCCTCTGCGGTGGCTTCGGTCTCTGCGGTGTCCCCGACTCCCTCATCAACGAGGTCCTCGAGAAGCCTAATATCACCGGTCTAACAGCTGTGTCAAACAACGCCGGTACGGATGACTTTGGTCTCGGCAGACTCCTCAAGACCAAGCAGATCAGCAAGATGATTGCTAGTTACATTGGCGAGAACAAGACCTTTGAGAAAATGTACCTTACTGGTGAGGTCGAGCTAGAGCTGACCCCTCAGGGAACTCTTGCTGAGCGATGCGCCGCTGGTGGAAAGGGTGTGCCTGCTTTCTATACCCCCGCTGCCTTCGGTACTGTTGTCCAGACCGGTGAGCTTCCTTTGCGCAACAAGGCCGACGGCTCTCCCGATGTCTACTCTCGCCCCAAGGACGTCAAGGTCTTCAATGGAAAGTCTTACCTGCTTGAGGAGAGCATTGCCGGTGACTACGCCTTCGTCAAGGCCTACAAGGCCGACAAGCTCGGCAACTGCCAATTCCGTCTTGCCGCACACAACTTCAATGGCGCCATGGGCCGCAACGCAAAGATGACCATTGTCGAGGCCGAGCACATCGTCGAGCCCGGTGAGATTCCCCCTGAGGCCGTCCACCTGCCCGGCATCTACGTCAAGCGTGTCATTCAGAGTACCGAGGAGAAGTCGATCGAAAAGTACACCTTCGCCAAGGACCCCAGCGATCCCGAGGCCACAAAGGCTCTAGGCTCTGGCGACACAGCTGCCAAGCGTGAGCGCATTGTTCGCCGTGCTGCTAAGGAGTTCAAGAACGGCATGTACGCCAACCTGGGTATCGGTATGCCCATGCTTGCTCCTGGCTTCGTCGGTCCTGAGGTCGAGGTTCAGCTCCAGTCTGAGAACGGTATTCTTGGCTTGGGTCCCTACCCTCAAAAGGGCGAGGAAGACGCTGATCTGATCAACGCTGGCAAGGAGACTGTCACTCTCAAGCCTGGTGCCGCCGTCTTCGGTAGCGAGGAGAGCTTTGGCATGATCCGCAGCGGTCGCATCAACCTCACCATCCTAGGAGCCATGCAGGTCAGCGCCAATGGCGACCTGGCCAACTGGATGCTTCCCGGAAAGGTCAAGGGCTTCGGTGGTGCCATGGATCTTGTCAGCAACCCCAGTGAGACCAAGGTCGTTGTGACAATGGAGCACACAGACAAGAAGGGCAACCCCAAGATTGTTAAGAAGTGCGCATTCCCTCTGACTGGACCCGCTTGCGTGTCAAGAATCATTACTGAGCTGGTAAGTTTATCTGCGTTTGCCCTCTAATGCCCGGCAATGTACTAACTCTAGTTCTAGGCTGTCTTCGACGTTGACTTTGCCAAGGGCCTTACCCTCATCGAGATCGCTGACGGCGTCACTGTTGACGAAATTAAGAGCAAGACCGAAGCTCCCTTCCACGTTTCCGAGGACCTCAAGCCCATGCTATAAATGATACAATATTAAGAGAAGGAAAGACATTACGATTGGATACTATAGCGCAGATTATTGGAAAAGTATTGACTGGTGAATAATTACCCGGGTTTGAATCATCAAGTTGAGTATCGAAGCAAGCCGAATGCTATTTGAAGCCATCGGATCACAGAGCAGCCGTTGTCAAGCCATGCATGCGTGGCTTCGCTTGTTCCCGTCACTATAAGGAAAAAAGATAAACGGACTGCTTAGACGGCGTGAGGAGAGTAAGAAGATTTCAGAGCGGCAAACAATAATAAATAAATGTTATAAATAAATGAAGAGACTGTGCATGACTATGGATTTTAATTAATTACTCCTCCACTTTCTAATTTGAAGTCGTGTTTTTGAAGCTGAGTACCTAGCCGTATCACTCACGACAGGCATCTTAGTGAGATGGCATTCCACCAAACGCGTTCTCACCAAGCGGGTTCTAATAACCTTGCCACCCTTACAACCTCGCACAGTAAGCGCTTCACCTGCCTTCAAGCTCTGCACAAAAACTCATATGGCTTTTATTGTCTCTAGTATTATCAGCTATGTTCGACCAAACTTCAGGCCAGGTCTTTACAGAATATGTCATGTCTCGAGGAGCTCTCGCCGAATCTGATGAGGACTCGGCAGATTGGAGTCGGCGTCGTCCATATCCCCCCTTTACAGCTCGTGGGCCGCATGGGCCTCGTCCTTTAGTAGACATGGCCATCAGTGTCCTTGCAGATAACATGGGCAAGGTTCGTTCTGGGGCACATCTCGAGAGTATTCCAAGTAATATGCTGTGGCGCATTTGGCGGTATCTAGAAGCTAGGTCAGTTGGTGTTGCGGATGGTGCGGAATACCTTAGGGCATAGAAGACTGATTCTCTACTAGAGGCGTGTGTCTTCATGCATGGAAGATCTTTTCAAAAATCCTTATGAACGATCAGGATGACAAAACTCTTGGGCTGTACCGCTTTCGGCAACATATCTGTCGTCCTGGCACCGATCTCACCCGCTATACCCAGCCCTTAACAGCACCACCCACAGACTTCATTACACACCTTGTTCTCACGGGTGGGTGCTCCTTCAGCACTCATGATCTGCTATGTCTAGCCGACATGCCTAATCTTGGTGCCCTTGAACTCATCCAACCGGCCGATGAGCTCCGGATTGTCTTCCCACGCGTCTCGGATCGTCTCGTCCGGGGGTGGACTGAGAAGAAGGACCCGTTCCCCTTGCTACGTATATTAAGAATATGGGGCGATCAGTCCACAACACACGAATCTCTCAAGTGGGTGTCCAAGTTCCCTTCTCTTGCTCTGTACGACGTCATGGGCGCAAGGGAGGATTGGACTAGGAGCTACGAGGCAGCGTTGGAGAATGGGTGGGAACAAGACGACGCACCATCCGGGCTAGAGGACTCACTATTACGATATCTCATGTTGTTCGCGCCGCTAGAGGAAACCAGGAGTAAGCCTCTTCGTGACCTTGCGGCGAGTATCGACAACGACTTGGTCTCGTTATGTAGCGACTCTCGATGTGCTGTCAAATTCGTCCAAGAGCATCAAGCACCGCCTCTTCTCGACTACCTTACTGATACAGCAAAGGTACAGACACCCTCGTGGGATACTGATGCCGCATCTCGAGAAGCTCGTGCATGCCATGGCGTCGCTTTCGAGCCCTGGGCGTTTTGGCTGTACTCCTTTCTAGGACAGTTAAGTTCGGATCAAGACTTGAAGGCTCGCGGTGCTCGTCCCTCCACAAAAGCCGTGGCTGGTCCTTTTGTTCTGCCTTCGCGACCACTTGCCTGCCTTCATCTAGGACACAGTTCTCGGTACGGTGGCATTGGCACGAGACCATCGTACGTCAGCAGGGGGTTGTTCGCAACACGAAGATACACTTTTGCACGAGACGCTGCTGGTCGAGGTGCAGCGATCGTAAAACCAGCGCCGATTCCTAAGAAGGGACCCAGCTTGGTAGCTTCGGAGCGTTCAGCGCCTGTTTTAGCATTGAGAAAGCAGAAGAGGAAAAGACTCGATGATGTTTTGGAGGCTTTATCAAGATGAGGAGGGTTTGGTTTTTGAATGCCTTGATGCTCCTTAGGCATCGTTCCACCAACAAATAACGGTTGCTCTCGTGATCTAACTTGTCCAAGGTACGTATATTCCCATCCCAAATTCTTGAAAGTCACTGACTTGTATCCTAAGAGTCCGCAAATAGTTTGCATACCGTGATGTACCCGCTTATTCATCATACGAGAGCCAGATTAGGATACTAGCCATATTGTATTAAAAGGATCAAGCCGATGGAAGGTATGCGGGGGAGGGGCAAGGCCTATCGACAGATGTCGAAAACGTGAGAAGTGCAGGATATGCAAGATGGAATATAGTCCAGACAAGTGGAATGTATTGAACATCATTGTCTTGCGCAAAATGGAAGAGACAACGTTTGAAGCGAGCATCGTATTGTATTAAGCTGCATTATATCAAAGAACGCCATAGAACGCTCCTACTTAGAAAATCAATGTTAGGGAATAAAAAGTGAGACAACAAACTACTGTGGCGGGAGCACGCGGGTGGTAATTTGTTCTCCAGCTTGCACGTCTCAAAGAGAAAAGTCTGCCATTTACCCTATAGTTACCCCAAGTACTGAAAGTGGCAACATCTGTGTCAGGTTGTGTCAAAGAATATCCCTGATGCTCATATGGTTTGAGTTTGAGAAGCGACAGGGCGCTATAACTTTAAGCGTTCACGTTGTCAAGCCGTAGACTTCACACCTTCGTAGGGACTGCCCAAGATCCGCAATGAGCGGTCCAGTAGTACATCTCCCGTCCAATGAACATGTGAGGCCAGGACAAGCCAGAAAAGCAGCGGTTCAAAGACCAGTGCACATGTTGCCCAGGGGTGGACCCCAGCCGATACAGATTTTTCTACAGCCGGGCACATCCGCCTGGTTTAGGTACTACGTACGATATTTGTCGTATCTCGGAGAACAAAAGAGTGTTAAAGAAGTGGTATGTACCGCGTCAAAATTTCTCTCTCCCAACGCAGCAAAAGCTACAAGCAGGACAGAGGGTAAGTGTCAGCGGTGAATTCATCTTTCCTCCAGTTTCCCCTCCAAGTACCCCCATGGTGTAATGGGAGCCAGAGTGAATTTGAAGGATTCAGTTTTTCTAGTAGGTTGAAGAAGAAAAGAAAAAAAGAAATCAAATTGCGGCTCACTCGAGGTGGTTTTGTTTACGTGGGTGGGGCATCTGGAAGAGCGGATGCGGAATATTGATGCGCCGAAAGATCAAGATCCGTCCCTAGGTCCATCCTGGCTGTAAGGCGATGCGAAGCCACTGATTGAGTTTGGAATTTCATCAGGGTTTCATTGAATTGTCACAGGAATTTGCTACAGTTGCTTTGGAAGGCCTGACCACGTCGTACAATTGCACATGTAATTCTTTAGGCATAGAAAATTTGTTGGTGTCGTGTGCATTATGGACAAAAAAGGCTAACAGCCTGTCATGCAAGCATCCATTCACAGCAGGTACACAGTAGCACTTACGTGCCTTAGTGCTACGATAAACACCCACACACGACAAACCGGGAGTGTCCCATTCGTTCAATGACCTCAACGGCCTGTGGAGTGCTTGGCCTATCCTGTTCCTGACTCACAAGTCCCTTTTGCCTTGGCTTGACTTGGGTGCCTCAGCTCCATATGTCGTACTAAATACTCTAGACAGGTGTTTAACATTAAGAGCAGAATACTCAGTGAAACGTGTGTGAATAGAACAGTATCCTACATGAGTCATAAAAATGGGCATAATAGAAGAGTTATTCCTGAAGTCCTTGGTATGATGTCTCTTTGCTTCTATCTCTTCACTCTGAAGCTTTCCCTATTTGACACAATACGTCTTGCATAAAGTATATGCTATTTACCTAAATTAGCATTTAGAAATATCAGCGCATCCCCATTAGTTTTTTGGTAGCACAGGTTACCCTTGACTCATATAAAAGGTAGTCCCCCGATAGTTCCTGATTAACAGCATCCCTTGATCTTTGAAGTCTCTCGATCAAAAAGCTGCTGCCATCATTAGCTACCCCGCTACCCCGCCTCAGAACAAGTTTGATCACCAAACAACATCCCATTTCAAACAATAGATAATCAACAAGAATCCTGACAAGCTTGCTTAACTTCGTGCAAACTCACCTCACCTACACAACTTACCACAAATCGCCCATCATGGCTCCCGGTGGCCCCCCTGGATCAGGCTCTCGTGGCCGAGGAGGAAAATTCAGAAAGCCCGCCAGAGGAGGTACGTCTGATCTTTATCATTTACGCCCCAATACGCCATAAGAATGCTAACAAGCGCAGGTGGCAAGAAGTTCTCTCGCGATATTCGACCTCTCGATGCCGATGGAAACGAAGTCAGCATGTGGGCTGTTGATCATGACAAGGACGAGGGTGACGAAGAGGAATCTTCCGAGGAGGAATCCTCTGAAGAGGAGGACAGCGATGATGCTGCAGATGCCGGTCCTGCCCAGGAACTTTCACAAGAGCAGTCGCGAGAACTTCGCAAAGCCGAGAAGAAGGCCCGCAAAGAGGCAGCGATAGCCAGATCGAAGGCCAAGACAGTCGAGGTCGGCGATCTACCCTCAAGCGACTCTGACGAGAGCGACAGCGACTCTGACGACGATATGCCAGCCAACCCCAACCACTCCAAGAAGGCACGCAAGCAGGCTACCGCGGGAGTCGATGAACTTACAGAAGACATGGAGAACTTGCAGGCGGCGCCTACTCGACGTGAGCGCGAGGCCCTCGAGGCTGCAGCGGCCAAGGAGAGGCACATGCGCCTGACGGCCCAGGGTAAGACTGACGCTTCCAAGGCCGATCTGGAACGTCTCAAGGCTATTCGTGAGCAGCGTGCCCTTGATGCTGCCCGAAGACAAGTAAGTTGCCCAATATTAATATTCTTTCCAGCCAAACTGTTTGTACTAATACTGTTTAGGCTGAGCGCGAAGAGAGGGAGGAGCAAGAAAATGTCAAGAAAGCCGAGTTCGAGGCGAAAGAGGCCCGCAAACGAGAGGCTGCTCTCGGAAAGAAGGGCAAGAAGAAATAGAGGATAGATTATGACAGACTTGACGATTATGATCAATGAATAAATCCTGCTTGTTTCCAGTTAGAACATGGAATTGTGCAACATGTTCCAGATACGATTTAAAAGACAGTTTGTGACCTGAAAGTCCATATTCATCCACGGCACTTGTGCTAATCCTGTGGTGTTGCAGTTTTCTAATGTGCTTAGAGCGATTGCTCACACAAGCCGTGCCCTCTTGTTGATTCAACGTTCCGTCACAAAGTTGGCAGAAGGAAGTTCTTAAGAAACATATGTATTGGAATTATATTGAGTAGTTCAAGTATTTAGATTCCCCATATTCATCCTTGCACGACAACGAGCCGGGCGTTTGGACTTGATGACATGTTCGCACTCTCCATACCAAGGAGCAGTAGAGCATTATTGAACTTTGGGGAGTTTTTGAATCGACAAGCTAGATTCAAAAGCCTAAAGTGCATCCTGGGCAGAGACTTGACGACTTGCAAAGTCCAAGATGAAAAGCTAGTAGTTCTTGAACGTCAGTATCATATTGGTCTCGTTTAGTGGAAAAACCACCCTCGAACTTCTAGAAGACGAATTTAAATCACCTGTGAGCGTGTTCTTTTCCCGTTAAGCCCGAGGTCAGTCTCTGAGCTTATTATGAGGCTCCCAAAAGACATTGGGACCCTGAACATAGCGTAGTCGGTACGTATCACGGCCGAACCGTGCTAAACTTCCAATGGTGGATCGACCGCCTTCAGGTTGTCGGGTTTCCCCACACAAAGTGCAAGGCCCGGTCGTTAGCAGGAAAAAAAAAATTACAACGATCCTCCCCAAAAAATTGAGGCAGCAAATCGCCATCCGAGCCTTCTTTTTCCAACCTCTTGTTATTGTCGAGAGCGACGAATCATCTCAATAATTGCTCCCGACCAATACCTGCAATCCCGAGATACCTTTCAGTGTTTGATCCGACCGAACAGGACATTTAATATGGCCGAGTCTTCAGTAAAGGTACGTTCTACCAGTCGCCCTATGCCCCGCCTGTCATCATCCAAGTTTTGGATACATAGCGATAGGAAGCATTTGAGCTGACCTTGACTATTGTAGGACCGCCTGCGGCTCCAGTCAAATGCCTTTGATGGCATTCTGAGTCTCATACCCGCCAAGATGTACTACGGTGAAGACACAAGCGTATGTGAAGCGAACCTTATCTCGATTTCGATTCATACACATCTGCCACCTACTTGATTATATCACACACCTCTCGTCACCTTATGCTCTTAATAACAAGCGCAACAAAAGGCTAATTCGACCATAGGATCAATGGAACAAGAAGAAGCAGACTAAGGAGGAAGCCGCCGCCGCCCGTCGAGGAAAGCTGGATCCTGATAGCGAGCTGAACCGAAACGCCAAAGAGGTTATGGATGAACGTGCCAAGAACAAACGCAAGCTGCGCGAGATGGAGCAGCAAGATGGAGCCGACAATGATGACGATTGGGAGGAGTACGAGCCTGTTCCCGGTGTAGACAGCGAGAGGCCGGGCGAGGGTCTCAAGGCGGCCAAGACCGAGAACAACAAGAAGCAGAAGCTCGACGAGGACGAAAGCGATGATCAAGAGCCCGCGGAATCAGCTGAAGTGACCCAAAGTTCCAAGCTATCAAGGAGAGAAGAGAAGAGAGCGGCCAAAAAGGAGAAGAAGAAGGAAAAAAAGACTGAGAAGCCAGAAAAGAAGGAACAGAAGACGACCAAGGCAGATACACCCAAAACTGAGACCAATGCTGCGCCAGCACCCACACCAAAAGCTCAGAAGCAAGCCGCCAAAAAGCAGGCAAAACCCCCTTCCACCAAGGCGCAGAAGCAAGAGGAGGCGAATGAGGAGGAGACAACAACTGGCGGCGATGGCGAAGTTTTGCCCATGGACATTTCTGGCATGGATGAGACCAGCGGTAATTCAAGTCACGAATCCGAGCCACACTCCCCAACGTTTGACACACCAGCTCCTGCAGAGACAACCACCGACCCTGCTAGCACTACTACTTCTATCTCATCAACCGTCACTCCTTCCGAAAAGCCCAAGCACATCAAGCTCCCCGCCGACACTACTGCTATCCGAGCGCGTCTTGCTGCCAAGATCGAGGCTCTTCGTGCTGCCCGAAAAGCAGATGGCCCTGATGGAAAGCCCATTCGTACACGCCAAGAGCTTATCGAGTCGAGACGAAAGAAGCAAGAGCAACGAAAAGCTCACAAGCAAGAGATGCGCGCGCAAGCTAAGCTGGAAGAGCAACGCAAGCGCGAAGAGGCATTGGTATCCAACTCGCCCGGTATTATGAGCCCTGCTGTCGAGCTCGACGAGAATGCTAGCAATTTTACCTTTGGTCGCGTTGCCTTTGGCGATGGCGCTCAGCTCTCACGCGATCTCGGTCATGTCCTGACTCAGGGCAAGAAGAAGGGACCTTCGGATCCCAAGACAGCCCTCATCAAGGTCCAGAACCAGAAGAAGCGCCTTGAAGAGCTTGATCCTGAGAAGCGAGCCGATATCGCCGAGAAGGACGTCTGGCTGACAGCCCGCCGTCGCGCAGAGGGTGAGAAGATTCGTGATGATGAAGCTCTCCTCAAGCGCGCCGTCAAGCGAAAGGAAGTTGCCAAGAAGAAGAGCGAGAAGGCCTGGCGCGAGCGAGTTGATGGTGTTAAGCAATCCCAAAAGGACCGCCAGCGCAAGCGAGAAGAGAACCTGCGCGCACGCCGCGACGACAAGCTTCTAGGCAAGGCTGGTAAGAAGAAGAAGAAGGGCAGTGCCGCCGGTGCTAAGAAGAAGGGCCGTCCCGGCTTCGAGGGCACCATGGGTGTTGGAGGTGGAAAGAAGGGTGGGAAGAAATAAGCTTGAGGAAGAGCAGAGATGAAGAAAAAGATTGATTGATTGATTTTTTTACTCTTTGATATAATCAAGATACACGGCGCTGGCGGAGTTCCGATCGGCAAAAAGGAGAAGAAGCATGATAAGGAATTTTAGGAGTGATGACGCTCAAGACGCATTTGATAGTGTTCATAATTCATTTGTATTTAGACATGAAAGTGAAAAAAAACATGTCTGGACCGCGCTGTCAATACTAGAAGTCGTTAAGCTTCCAAGCCTACCTAGTAGTGCAAATTCCCAAGTATTTTTTCGGACTTTTATCCTTTCTCCTCTTGTGACTACCCTTCTCTTCATAATCATCATATAGAGCCCAACATCACCAGATGCAACACAAATAGCGAGAGAAGAGACCAATTATCCTCTGGAAAAACAGACGCCCTCATTATGTAAAAAACAGAAGTTGTCTGTGGTATTTTTCTTTTCATTACAACAGATAACACCAAACCCAGTTTCAACGACAAAACAGCAACGGCTACGCTTCACGCATCGGTCTGGATCTCGTCCCTTATCCCTAGCCTCCCAGAAGCACACCAGCACACAGCAGACATATACACAACAGAGTTCGAGTTCGAGTCAGAGTCATCTCGTCCATCTCCTTTTTTTGTTTCCCAAAACCGGTAGAAAGAGGAAGAATAGATAAGCCTCGACAAAAATAAAAAGGACATTAAAAGAAGTTTTGGGGTGGATTAGAAGTGTGCAGACCGCCAACAACACTTGGTTAAACACACACCCAGAGAGGTTTCCGCTGAGCTACCTAGTCAATTGGCCAAGCTCTAAGCTCTTGACGCGTGGAATGAACCACAACCCGGTTTAGTTGAGTTGGGGCAAAATTCCAATTTCCCTTGAATTACTCCATACTGTAGTGATTGCGTGTAGGGACTCGTGCTGCTATCGTATTTGTGAGAAGGGGGGCCATGAGAATGTTGTCATCAAAGTCATGTCGTGAAAAAGGTTCGAAAGAGGGATTAGGATCGGATAGTTGAAACGGAGATTTGGGGGAAAGAGCTTGGCCTGACTAGGACGTCAGATAGTCGATCGAGGATGTAATCCAAGCATCGTGTTTGGCGATAGCGGATACGCATGCAACCTGCGTCGGTACATTTATAGAAGGGAGTCGAGTCGAGTAAAGACACTCAAGCAAGCTGAAACAACCTCGAGCTGGAGCTCCTTGTCTTTACCGCTGTTGACCTCCTGTAGCTAATGTCAGTTATGAAACCTCTCATGAAACGAAATACCCACCTCGTTGATAAGTTGAGGCAAGTTGGCCCCAATGCCGTTCTGTGTGGCCTTCTTGCCGAATGGCCATTGACTGTAGTCAGCGAGCAGGTCGTCGGTCTGCGCAAAGGCTCTCTCGCGAGCCTCATGACCAAGGGATGCGAGGGCATTCTCGAGGACATTAGCGGCGTAAGCGGCGCAAACCATGGCGATGGTGCGCATATAACGAAACTCGAGCGACTCGGGTAGGAACTGGCTACCGTTGAGGACGACGGTTCGTTGGGTAAGGACAGTGCGGACGCGGCGGCGGATCTCCTCCTTGGCACCGCCATCAGCGACGGGATGGGTGGCCATGTCGAAGAGGAGGAAATTGCGCTTCTCGGTACGGAGGATGCCCTTGTCGACAAGGCCCTTTGCGAGTCGTTCTCGGACCTGCTTGAGTTGGTACCCAATCTTCATCAAGTTCCAGGTCTCGCCTATTGTGCGAAAAGGAGTCAGCGACGTTGTTAAATTTGGCAGGGATATTGCTTGGGCGACGTACCACTCATCAAATCAATCCAGGTTGCAACGCTCATCTTTTCGCTCTGCTTCATCATCTTAAGGGCTTCGTCAAGGAGAACCTCGCCGGTGAGGGTATCGTCTATGACTTCGATGTTGCGGTCTGCGAGGGGGAATCGACGTCTCGAAGCGTCCTTTTCCATTGCAATGCGACCGCGGAAGGCCAGCTCGATGACGATGCATCCTCGTAGGGCGTAAGAAATGTTGTCGTTCCAGAAAGAGAGGTAGCCCTATGAGAGGTCAAATGTTAGAGCTGTCTGTATTGTATCGTGGTGCCAGAGAACAAAGGGCACGTGTATGGGCATATATGCTAGCCTACCTGCTTATCCTTGAGGCCAAGTAGCAACACCTCCTCCATGAGGGTGAGCTTGGGCTGCTTGCTTCGCTCAGCACTCTCGCTAATGTCTCGAGGGTCGAAGGCGATCTTGTGGCCATTTTCTGAGTTCTCGTAGCTCGTCTCGGGACCGTTGTCCCTGGCGCTGGGTGTGCTTGTTCTAGGGGCAGCGCCATTGCTGGAGTCGCCTTCACCCGCAGGTCCTGCGCCGCCCGCACCGCGGCGTCGCGTCAATCCCGAGGACATTTCGAAGAGGTAGATATGTTTTATCTTTGGTGTCTGGGGGGGAAGAATCGAAGGCCAAGGAGAGGGAGCGGCGGAAGCAGCAAAGCCTTTTTTTTGTCAAGATGAGGTTGAAGGGGTACAGCACAGCACGGTCTAGTAGTTTGAGGTCAGGTCTTGGAACATGATTGACTGAGCTGAACGGGGCTAGTTGCGCGGCCAGATTTAGGGGTTTGGGGCTGGGGGCTTGGAGCTCCGTATAGTTGTACTGGATTGCCCTGTATGGAAGTAAAATGTACCTTATTAGCAGTGCCAGCCAATAGCTGGTCCAGCTGAGCCGTTGAGTTGAGGGACCTAACCCTTTGTGCAAGGGAGGCTTTATTGATGTGAGAATGCCAGTTGATTGATAATGTCAAAAGCATTAATCTAATTCAATCTTAACACTTTTCTTTGATAAGTAATTCCGAGCTGACTGATGTGATATGCTATTGCCTTTCTTCCCTACAAAGACTAAAAACGAAGGTCTTATGCATACATCCAGCATGTATCTACTATTAAAGTGTGAGGCACCTAGCAGGCTGGTAAAGTATTGACAACGGTTGGTGATGGAAATAGCCAGTTGACATTTATTATGGAAATCAATTGAACATACATGAAAGTTGCTCGTAGCCTCGGGAAGATTGAAACTTGCTTAGAAAGAGGTCGACACTGTGATACAAGAGAGGTTAAGGGATTTCCCTTCCATGGGACAAATACATGGTGCAGGGAGGGAGAGAAACAACTGATTTTGACACCCATCAGCCTATTCAAGCCAAACTTGTCAACAGTAAAGACATCCCTTACTAGAAAGTCTTTCAACCGACCTCTAATTGTCTTCCTTGTATAAAGTACTTCATGCAATAGTTTTGGAAGGGTGCCTAACTGATTAACCCAACCTGCACAGCCAACCACAAAGTTAAGAACCTCTCTTTAACGTCCAACCAGGATGGCTGATCCTCAATCCTTCAGAAAGGTCCATTCTTTCTGGAGTCAGTCAGCATTCTGCCTTGCTCAGACCATGTCTGCAGAACCCCAATTTTCATGTGACTGAGCTCCAGATGAAGCAAGACCTCGCTTATAACAAAAAGATATCAATTCGCCACCCTATATCCGGTTCCATCAAGCACAATACATGTAGATATTATCTAGTAGTTACGAAGTCAAAGCTTAGGAGGTAAACTCAAAGCTCCTGCTTGCCCTCTTTTTACTGGGATTCTCCGCAGGAGGCAGGTGCAACTCAAACCCACCTTCCACTAATACGTGGATACACGCTTGTTAGTCAGCTTCCGAGACAGGACACGAATCTCCACCACACACAATTTCGACTTCATACCATCATCAAACAATTGCCTTGAGCTTCTGATAGTTGATTCTGGCTTGAAACACCACCAACCTGGACGCAGCTGGTAACGTCAAGTCTTTGAGGTAATAATCTGAGCCTACTGCAGCAACATGTTTCTTCGATTCGGATCCTCCAGTGTCGTGGCCGCCTCGTAAGGCTCTTCTTATCCGCTATCTGCTGGATGATCCTGACCATCCTGACCACAAGACCCCAACATATACAACGTCGATGTTGAACATACCATTCAAGCCAAATACTGGAACACATGAAATAAGAGCGCCCGGTTCTTACCTTTTGGTCACTATCCAGCTCCCTGAAGTTAGGGCTGCATGGGCAATGTTTGTATGAACATTGGCTTATATGTCATCTTCGTATGGCTACAATGTCTCCTTGGCCAAGATGACCCGAGCTGCCATTTGTTTGCCAATTTTCTCTCTGAGGACAGTTGTTTGTTCTTGGGAATTGCCTCTGTTCAACCCACCAACGACTGGTATAGGCATGTCTGTCAATATGGAGCCGATCTTATTCGTCACCAGGATTCTTTACCAGTCCAATCCGCACCATGGAGGCTGATCTGAACATATGCTTTTCGATCCCAATGCTCAGCCTCTCGCTGTTGGTCCCGGTGTGCTTTTCCTCACCAAGGTACCAAAGTATCCGCCAGTTGCATGCCACCTGCATCCCATAGCTGCACGCGCGCCCAACAAAGCTTTATGTATCATCACAACTTGACTTTTATCGACAGCGGGGGGTCCCTGGGGGCACAGTGGTGTAAGGGAATCATCGCTCGGGTTTCTGCCTGAGTGGTGATGGTTCGAACCGCACGGCGGTTCGAGCTTCCTACGCCTTGTGCCCCAACGCAAATCCCCCTCATAGGACCTGTAGAGCCCCTGGCCTTGTCAGCGTCTGGGGACGCCCAGCCTGACTTGACGACCGAGGATCTAAGGATGGCCAAAGAAATATCCCACGCGAAAGCACGGGACGCGTAGTAGGTTTCACGCTGTCATCGGAGTAGGAAACGCTGGGCGTATGATTTTTTTTGGTTAGTTTTTCTAGTTATTTTTATGTTTATAATCACTGTAACTGTAGACGCCCCTTTATCGTTATTGAATTAAGTAGACTATACTGCGTGTAATAATACTGCCTCCCCTTTTAATACGCTTGTAATTATGCCCCTCTATGATGGCAATGAGCCAACACTCTTCTTCCAAAGATCGTCAAAGTTAATGTTCTCTTGCTCAAACAAGTCGCGGATCTTCTTAGCTGCAACCTCTTGTTCCTTGGGACCAAAACCACCAGGCTGTGTCGCCTCGAATTGCACGATTTCAACCCAGCGATAAAACAGGTTTTCTTTTCCAAGTTTGGTAAGTGCATCCCGAAAAGCAAAGACCTGTCGTCGTCGCTCGTCCTCACTCGAAGCGCCGCTACCACGGACATCGTAGGACATCCAACCGTAGGCAGCATGGTGAACAAGAACGACACTCTTGAAAGCCTCAAGAGCAAGCTCCTTCTTGTCGACTAGACGGTGCGCAATTACCATGCGTGCCCAGTCGAGATCCCAGTAGGCGTTCATCAGAAGATATCCTGTCTTTTGCTCCTGGAGAATAGGGGAAGTTGCATTGTCGACGTAAGAAACCAGGATCTTCTTTGAATCCGCATCCTCCAAAACATCGGTGAGAGCCTGGTCCCATTCTCGACTTCGACGCACGTAAATCTCCTGTTCGCGAAAGCCAACCTGCCACCGCCATTGGCAAGGGTTACCGCGAGCTTGTCCGGCGACGAATTCCACAGGCCACGGCCAAACAAAGATGAAGAGAATAAAGTCGATAAGCATAGTCCCAGATCGCTTTCCGACCTCCCAGGCAATTTGAGTCCATGTTGAGTTTGTAGTATCCCAAGTTGTCTCGTTTTCATGACCAAGACCTGTCATGAGCAGCTGCCAGTACCAGGGGGCGATCCACCACATGCGCAGAATAAAGAGAAGAACGACTACAACGTTCATACCGATGGGTACAAGGAAGATCTTCCGCTTGAATTCGGCAGGTTTGTTGTCTATGTGTGTGACGTAGACGTGCTTCTCATCTAGAGACTGGATGAATGGCTCCAGAGCTTCAGGGGGCCGCTTGAAAGGTGAGGGAGGAGCTTCATTCTTTTTATCGACGAAATGAGCACGTTTTTGTTTTCCTGTTCTCTTGTTGGGAGCCATGGTAAGTGTGGTGTTTGATTTTCGTATGTGTTTTGTGAGGTGAAACCCGATTGATGTGTGGTGAGAATGATTAGGCAGGAGGTTGTAGTTTCATTGGTGATTGGAAATGTGTTCTCGAAGAATGAGGTGAACGTTCTAGTGGTTCCACAAAAGCTGGATACTGTCCTGGATATAGACACTGACCATCGAAGATATGTCTTGTTCTGTAACTTTTCAAGGAAACAGTTAAAAAAAAGTCCCAAAAGATCTTGAGCATATATACGCAACTGTTCTGTCTTGTAATTGAATTTTTTGAATTTTACACCTCCATCTTTGCTCACTAACAAATGGTCAAAAACCTGACGCTTCACCAGGCATTGCCCTGCATTTAATTGTCCAGTAGCGGACAATCCCGGCGCCGAGCGTTTGCCCGCTATGGCTAACAAGGACTTACTCCACTAAGATCTGATGGATTTCTACACTTACAGAAGGCACTTTAGCACATTCGTTTCAAAGTCAATGTTGAATTGGTTTTGCTTCTGGCCTGCCAATCCCTTTCCGTGGCAATGTTGAGAGCTCGTACTTTTCAGGTTAGTATCACATAACTTCTTCTGTTACTCTCAATTAGCTTATAAAATATAGGAGCGCGGCAATTCCTACGTATGCGCCTTCTGCCGCCACAAACTTTCGCCGAGGGACTCGCAGCTTAGAGATCGCCATGCTTCCAGCATCACAGCTTCAATAACACCCCACAGAGCCACCGGGCTATTGTCTTGCCATTTGGCGCAAATATCTGGCGTGCGTTCCCTTTCGACGACTTCTGCGCTCCGAGGACTTAATGATGGTGACAAGCCGGGTGGTTTCCCCGGCGGGGGTTTTCCTGGAGGGTTTGGAGCTGGATTGGGGTCATTTGGGGCGTTTGTGAAGAAGCCGGTGACAGAAACTACAAAAAAGTCTGTCGAACTGCTTCCTCACGAGCTTGAAGCTCGTCAGAAGATGGGGCTGCCTCTCAAGAGGCCGCCTCCGAAGCCTGCCCAGGCACAAGCGAAGGACAACGCCAAGACATCGCCAGCTGCTCAGAACGTATCTCAAAATCAGGGCCAAGGCAATGGAAGAGGCCTAGAAAAAAACAAGAGGGCAAAAGGAAACCAGCAATCGGGTCGATTTAACGACAGGAACAACAATAATATCAAGCAGAAGCAGCAAACGCCGCAACCACAGCAGAGCCAAGAGGTGAAGCCTTCGTCCAGCCCGTTATCGAGTTCCATCCTTGCCGAAGCCTTCAAGACAGACCGAGCACCAGCGCTAGTAGCGACACCCAGAGCTTGGTCTACCAACGAACCCCCCAAGCCAGCCACCCCTACCTGGGGAGCTTTTAGCTCTCGAAAGATAGACACGCATGTACCTCTAATACAGAGCCAAGCCGAAGCGAAGCCCGCAGAAAAGCAATCAGAAGCACAAGCCCAAAATCCTCCTCCATCGACGAGCCAGGGTAACAGCGAAGCTGTCTGGGGTCAACTGAAGCGCTCGAGGAGATCAGTCGGGGAGAAAGCAGAAGGCGAAGAGGGTGGTTTCTGGGATGAACTTGAAACTCGTGTCACAAACATTCGCAACAGACCTGCCCCCAACGTCACTGAACAATACCAATCTGTCCTTCAAAGCGATGGCTCATGGTCCACGGAGGGCCAGCAGCCATTGGAAGATCAACCAAGGCGTAAGTCTCGCTTCGAGATAGAGGAGGAGGAAGAGCGCAACAAACGAGATAAGAAGAACAAGCGCCCAAAGAATGTACGCCAGAACAACTACGAAGACGAGGATATGGATGAGGATGCGATTAGACGGTGGGAAAGCAGACAGCGCAAGAAGGCCGAAAAGGATGCCAAGAAGCACCTGGAAGCTGCCGCCGAAGCCGCACCAGTGCCTATCTTTCTCCCAGAGTACATCGGTGTTTCCAATCTGGCTAGTGCTCTTCAAATTCGTATCGCAGACTTCTTACACGATTTGGAGTCTATGGGCTTCGAGGAAATCACGGAGGAGACCATAATGACTGGCGATACGGCTGCTCTCGTTGCTCAAGAATATGGCTTCGACCCTACGGTGGACACGGGCTCTGAGCGCGATCTCCGACCTCGACCAGCACCAGAAGATCCATCTTTGTTACCCAGCAGACCTCCTGTTGTGACAATTATGGGCCACGTCGATCATGGAAAGACTACCCTTCTAGATTGGCTACGAAAGTCTTCGATTGCTGCTCAGGAGCATGGCGGCATCACACAGCATATCGGCGCCTTTATTGTTCAAATGTCGTCGGGTAGTCAAATTACTTTCCTTGACACGCCTGGTCACGCTGCGTTCTTGTCTATGCGTCAACGAGGTGCCAATGTCACAGATATCGTGGTGCTGGTTGTTGCCGCGGACGACAGTGTTATGCCACAGACCCTTGAGGCACTGAAACACGCTACGGCTGCCAAGGTTCCTATCATCGTTGCGATCAACAAGATTGATAAAGAAGATGCCCGAGTCGATCAAGTCAAGGCTGATCTTGCTCGCCACGGCGTTGAAATCGAAGACTATGGTGGTGAAGTGCAAGTTGTTCCTGTCAGTGGAAAGACTGGTAAGGGTATGGAAGATCTTGAGGAGAGTATCGTTACATTATCTGAGATTCTTGATGTTCGTGCTGAGGTAGATGGCATGGCCGAGGGCTGGGTCCTTGAATCGAGTATCAAGCACACTGGCAAGACTGCTACAGTGCTCATCAAGCGAGGAACCCTGCGCATTGGTGATGTCATTGTTGCTGGCAAGTCGTGGGCCAGGATACGAGGTCTACGGAATGAAGCTGGCGCCGATATCCGAGAGGCACCACCCGGAACTCCTGTTCAGGTTCTTGGCTGGCGTGAGCTCCCCGATGCCGGTGAAATGGTCCTCCAAGCACCTGACGAGGGCAAAGCCAAGACAGCAGTTGAGTATCGCGAGGAAATGGCCGAGCGACAGGAAAGTTCCAAGCAACTCGCCGAACAAGAACAACGCGAACGCGAGAGGGCTGCTGCAGAGGAAGCCGAAGCAGCAGCAGAAGAGGAGGGTGTCGAAGGGGAGCCTGCCAAGGCTGAACCTGGCATCACGTTTCAGAATTTCATCGTCAAGGCTGATGTTGCTGGTTCAGTGGAGGCTGTATGTGGCACTGTTCAGGAACTCGGCAACAATGAAGTCCAATCGAAACTCCTACGGTCTGGTGTTGGTGCTATTTCGGAGTACGACGTCGACCACGCTGCTGCCTCCAAGAGCATCATTGTTAACTTCAACATCCCGATCCTCCCGCATATCCGCCAGCGTGCGGACGAAGCTGGCGTTCGCATCATTGACCATAGCGTTATCTACCACGTTGTTGACGACGTCAAGAGCGCTCTCTCGGATCTGCTACCTTATAATATTACGCACAAAGTGCTCGGTGAGGCAGATGTCCTACAACTGTTTTCTATCAACATTCGGAAACGTTTGTCAAAGAATATTGCTGGTTGTAAAATTCGTAACGGTGCTATTAAGCGGACGTCTACAGTCAAGGTCATCCGTCGTGGAGAAGTTATTTTCGATGGTAAGTCAAACCATATTCTCTTATTCGCTCCACCAATATCCATTGTTCTTTGATTTACTAATTCAATCTGCAGGTAAAATCGACACGCTCAAGCATGTCAAGAAAGATGTCATGGAGATGGGCAAGGGTACCGAGTGCGGTATCGGTCTTGAAGGCTTTGAGGAGTTTGAGATCGACGATCAAATCCAGACATATGAGGAGATTAAGGAGAGACGATCACTGTAATAATATCGTTGTAAAATATGTACGAATAAGTAGGAAACAAAAAAGGGGTTGGCTCTCTTCTGGGAGTCTTGTATGAATAGTTGCCTGATATGAGGATATGGTCTGATGAGAGAAGAATATAGGATTTAGATGCCTAGATGTATATGAAATATACCACAGCACTAGAAATATACGCTTCATCAACGAAAAGTTGCAATTTCAAGGACCTTCATCCGCCATATGGGGCATTCCGATTGTCGCAGGTTTAATTCTTTTTTACAATATTTACATAGCCAATATACTAATCAGCTTTTGTAAGGTGCTCCAACCGCGTTGGAAGAAAACGTTCTAGTTGTTCTAGTAGCTTGGGAACGCTCCTTTTCCAACTTGGCCAGGCCGATCCGATCCGTCACGGGCGTAGCCTCGATGATGTTGTCAAACTCATCGTCATCGTCGTCACTTCCGCTCCTCTCGTTGTCTGAATCAGGTTGAACGCTGGTGTTGGGCTTGAATTGCTGCTGCTGCTGATGTGGGTTAGGAATTGTGGCAGGTTTCTTGTCTTCTTGTTCGTTGGGGTTACTGAACGTCTTTGAGGCAAGGACTTTGCGACGGATTTCGGCCATTGCGTCTTCGTCGTCCGAATCATCGGATATTGCGTAGCGGTCCTTCTCCTCTTCCTCCTCTTCTGGGTCAGCCTTGGGCGGTTTCTTGCCAAGATAAATACCATCCACACTTCCCTCTTCCTCCTCGCTGTCGTCCTCGTCATCATCTGAGTCGTCATCAGAGGGCTCCATGCGTCTTCGATTTGTGTTTCCGCTAGTCCACATATCGTCGTTTCCTTCCTCTCGACTCTCGGCATATTCCCTCTCTAACTGCTCCATCCACTCTTCTTCCGTCTTTTTCATCTCGGCCTCGTCGGCACACGCCGCATATCGCTTGAGTAAGGTGGAGTTGATTTCAAGAAAGGATGGACCGTAGGAGAATGGCGCAAGAATCTGCTCGGCCCAGTCTGGGTGGCCACAGATATAAAATGCGGCAGCCAGCGCCTCAACACAGTTCAACCGCCAGGGCTTGCCATAGTTGACTGTGTTTGCCGCAACAAGATAGGGCAGCAATCGCTCGCACTTCCCGCCGACCTTGTTCCATTGGACTTCTTGCGTTCTTGCCCAAGAGCATTCCACAACAGCAGCGCCGTACTGATCCATGAGTTCGCGATCGGCAGGGGAAACAGTGCGTTTTCCATTGGGCGTTATGATGACTCCGTTATGGCGTTGGCCAAGGTGGAGATCGCGCATCATTCCAAGCTTCATGAGCTTCTTTCCTGAACAGCGCTTGGGGTCGCAATGACCTAGATCCCAACACGCAGCCTTGAAAGCTGGGCGCGAAGATTCAGGGCCATCTTCCTCCTCACGCCGGGGTCCTCGACGTGGGGTAGGGCCTCCCTTTCTGCCCTTGGAGGTGAAGTCCTTTTTATGGCGAACCATTTTGTATGGTTAGCAGTAATTTTTTAATAGTTGTAGGATCGTACTGTTCAAGAACAGTTTGTGCAATTATAATCGATTGTGCAAGTCTGGTCAAGGTTTTAAATTTTGCCTCCAAAAAGTGATGGATGATGACAATGAGGATTGATGGTGGGGTAAACTTATTCAGTTCTTTTTAGACCGGGCAGTTTGGTGAGGGGCATTTCCCATTTCAGCCCGGCTACAACCAGGTTGCCCAAGCCCGGCTTCAAGGCTTCAGCAGCGGCAAGTGCACTATGACAACCGCTGTAATGGAACAGGGGTGAAGCGCAATTGAGTCCATCACGTGGCTGATCTTGAATACTCAGCAGCGCCACAGTGCCACACTTTACCTTGGTACAGCCTAGCTCACCATCATACTACTGGTAACCTCTAGGTCATCGTGGTGCTAGGTGTCTAATTCCATGTACGTTGTCCCCCTGGCTTGCAAGTACATGACTTGATCAACAAAGAGACAGCCTAAGGCGGGATAAGACAACGAGCTGATGGCCTCTTCGTTAAAGTCTGGCCATTCTGTCTTATAGTTGAAAATTGTCATATTTTCTCTTTATCTCTTCACGCCGTTTTCGTCCCTTGAACCGTATTCGGTCAGGCACTACTATCAAGCTCCAGCTTCCCCCGCCAAACGCCAGGCCAGGCCTGGCCAGTTCAGTTGACCAGCTCACCCTCTTACTCGGTTCATGTAGCACTGCCTCCTCATACTGTGCACTTCTACTACCAACTCGCGCGCGCCAAAACACCTCCAAATAGCTTCATCTTCATCTGCATACTCGTTGATCCCGTTCCTCCTTCGCAATGGAGGCCGCTTCTGCTCGCGCCGCGGCTCGCGACCGCTGGGGCGATTTGCCATCGTCCGGTCGAACCCCTTCCCAGCTCCAGCGCTTCGTCCAGGCTGCCTGCAGTCCCGAGAACTACGAACCCAATCTCGCTTTGAATCTCGAAATTTCCGATCTTATAAACTCCAAGAAGGGCTCTGCTCCTCGGGAGGCTGCTACTGCCATCGTTAATTACATTAATCATCGCAATCCCAACGTTGCCCTGCTCGCCATCGGGCTTCTCGATATTTGCGTCAAGAACTGCGGGTATCCCTTTCATCTACAGATCGGTACCAAAGAATTCCTCAATGAACTTGTCAGGAGATTCCCCGAGCGTCCGCCAATGCGACCTACGCGAGTCCAGGCAAAGATTCTCGAAGCGATTGAAGAATGGCGAGGGACGATATGTGAAACGAGCCGTTATAAGGAGGACCTAGGATTTATCAGGGATATGCACCGGTTGTTGAGTTATAAGGGATACGTCTTTCCCGAGGTGCGAAGGGAAGATGCTGCTGTTCTAAATCCAAGCGACGTAAGTCCAACAACTTACATCTATGCGTTTTCTATGCTGATTACATCAAATAGAACCTCAAATCTGCTGAAGAAATGGAGGAAGAGGAACGAGAGGCACAATCAGCCAAGCTTCAAGAGCTCATTCGTCGCGGTACCCCTGAGGACCTCCAAGAAGCCAACCGCCTTATGAAGATCATGGCTGGCTACGACACACGATCAAAGACTGACTACCGTGCAAAGGCTGCTGAGGAGGTTGCCAAGATCCAAGCCAAGGCACGATTACTAGAGGAGCGACTGGACTCTTTCAAGGCAGGCGACCAAATGGAAGATGGTGATGTTTTCAGTGAATTGGCTTCTGCCTTGCAAAGCGCACAGCCTAAGATCCAGAAGATGTGTGAGGAGGAATCCGACGATCATGAGGCCGTTGCCAAACTCTTGGAGATAAACGATAGCATACATCGAACGGCCGAACGGTACAAGTTAATGAAGAAGGGCGATATGGAGGGCGCTGCCAAGGTTGCTGCTGGTGCTCCCCCTCCTTCCTCCGGGACCGCGGCTGCATCTTCAAGCGCAGCGAATGAGCTGTCGCTCATTGACTTTGATGCCGATGCTAGCAACGGTGCTCAGTCAGGTAATGCTCCAGCTCCAGCTCCAGCTCTTGGCGCTGGAGGTCTTGAGAATGATCTGCTTGGTCTCGATATCGGTGGTGGAGATTCTGGCAGCTTCGGCCAGGGTGGCGGCATTGCTCTAGGCTTCGGTGCCAACCAAAGTAAGTTGTGATAACTGAAAGAATCATGACTTGTTAACATACTGACTCATATCAGACATCCCAGGCCCTGCGCTTCTATCTTCTATGACCCAAGACAACTCTGCCAGAGGTCGGGTGTCAACTCCAACTCCTCCCCCCTTTTCACAGTTCGCTTCTTTCTCACAGCCAGTCTCCCAATCAACCACCCCGCAACCTCCTCTTCAACAACAGCCTGCTCCCCTATCGCAACCTGCTTCTGACCCCTTTGCCATGCTTGGCGCTGGAAGCATGACCTCTCAGCGTGCGTCTCCTGCGCCGCCTCAACAGCAGTCCGTTGCAGTTTCCAATGATGATGATGAATGGAGCTTTTCTTCAGCACTGCCCGCAGAGCCTAGCAAGCCCAAGGAGCACCAGGCTACTGTTAGCAACACAAACGTTAAGGTTGAGATGATTGCTAGAAGAGCTCCTGGTAACGAGAACGCCATCAACATCATCTTTGCATTTTCCAACAATGTACCACAGCCTATCAGCGAGCTTCACTTCCAGCTCGCTGTTACAAAGGTAAGCATATTCATCCTACAACTATTCATACTAGACACTGACCTCTGCCTAAGGGCTACGAACTCCAGCTCAAGCCCCAGACCGGCCGTGACCTCGCTCCCCAGCAGAGCCGTGGCATTACCCAAGAAGTGCAGATTTGGCACGCCGGTAACCGTACTCAAAAGGTTACAAGCGCCAAACTGAGGTGGCGCGCCTCTTACAAGATGAGCGAGCAAGCTGTGAACGAGATGGGCGAGGTGGCTGAATTCAGCCTCGCATAAGAGCGTTGTTGTTTTTCTTTCTACTTGGGGGTTAAAGATATTTAGCATACGTGCTGGACGAAGGTGAAAGAGTGGGATAGTGGTCGCCAGAAAGGAAGATGAAGTAGCTTCTCTATGAGTTAGGGGATAGAGAGGACAGAGATAAGAGCAAAAGCGAGTACAGCAGATCTTTTCTCATTTGTCAAGTGAGCAATTTGCCTTTAGTATTTTGCTTTTTGTGAACAGCAGGCTTTCAAGTGACCTTGAGGCGGAGATAGACAAGATAGAGCTCAACCATCCAAGAGGAGAAAAGATATTTCCGATGTAGCTGAGTGCCAAAGTCGAAGACAGTGACTCGTCCAAGCAGCTACAAGTCATACTCACGCAAAGTACACATGGCCAGACATCTTGATTAACTAGAAGGTCGTTGTACCAAGTCATGGGACTGTTCATCATTTTTACATTCGATAACTCCTACTCTAACATCTAGTTTCAGCAAAACAGTTCCCTGGACGCGGAAGCCACCGAAACGGCCCTGGCGTTTTCTGTTCTGCTTCAAAACCCATCGTCGTTCGAGGCCAGATGGCTGTCATCCTTGCTCTCTTCAATCATGACCCGACACCGA